AGATTTTAATTTAAACAAGTATTGTGTGTGTAAAATGTGAACTTCAGTGAATTTAATACCAATTAAGGTAAATTAAAGTAATAATATAATATAAATATAATAATATAAAATGATTATATGTAGTATGACAAGTAATTATTTCGTAAATAAAGTGAAGTAAATCTTTCGTAATTATTCTGAAACAAATCATCGTAAAACACATTAATTTCCCCTAAAATGCCCTAGAAATTACCACTTGAGACTAGTTTCAGTTGTATCACGTAAACAAAGATCTCAGCTGTCAAAATCTATACCTGAGTTAAGATTTCGACATAAACATCATTCTAAAATAAGCTATCACTTGAGTATGGATCGGTGAATCTCGTTTTAAGTGACGTTCAATAATAAAATCTCTACTTAGAATTAGTTTTAAGACTCGATTCACGACTGAGACACCTTTTAAAATACGGGCCTTAAACTATGAAATTTGGCAAGTAATATCAACTTTTACTATAAGTACAGGAGGAAATCTAAAAGTATACATTTGTAAATAAATAATTAAAAAAAACTTTATTTAAAATACATCATCGAGGTACAATTTCACTTATAAAACACAATAAGTATTTATAGGTTTTGGAAACAGAATTTCGAGAAAAGCTCGGAAAAAACTGCCTATAAAGTACGGAAACCTCGGTGGGCGAGTCTGACTCGCACTTCGGATTTTTTATATCAACTTAGCACTGCAGTGCCCCGGATACCGTCACAATAGTTTGATATAGGAGAGAGATCTTAACTTAGTAACATTGGCCCCATTTCCCAGTAGATTTAAAGAAACCCAGCAGGCGTGAGAAAATGAAAATAATTAAAAAAGAAGTGGTTGTAAAATACTTCTGAGTAACGTGCGAAAAACGTGATAACATTATACAATGTAGGTAATTTCCGCTATCATAGACTCTAGCATATTGTTTATGCACTCTCAACGGATCAATTGTCTCCGGTATAAACAAAAACTTCTACTATAGCACAAGGCACATTGTGAGGCTTCAGTGAATGATAGGCTGGCAAAATTCCTACAGCTTAAATTAAAGTAAAATGCATTACTTTGTTTGGAACCGGGATATAAACGTTTTTTTTCGCACATCATTTGTCTCTTGCCTAATCCCTTTAGATAATTGTGTTGTTGTGTACAGAGTTGGGTAAATAATAATTATAATTAAAAAAATACGAACAAACACGCATTTGTAGCAAGCTGAACTAAAAAGTAATAAATAATTTTGTAAAAGTTCTAAAAAAAAATCATTTTATCTACAAAAAGCGTGCTATCTCAATTGTTGTAAAAATATTTTACAGACAGATTTTGGTAAAAGTAAAGTTATTATATTATAAAATACCTTGAAAATCACCCCACGTTACAATAAAATATTTGTTCTTTTTAAACTTTTAGAAAATCATTTTTATTTTATTTTAAGGAACACAAACAAGGTATTCTACAATGATGTCTGAAAAACTAATATGCGTAATGTTTTGATTTAGTCCATACAAAATAATATGTGTCCACAGCCTATGTTATTTTATGTTAACTAATCGTACCATCGGAGATAAAACAATTTACATAATTCCTATCATTGATAACTTTTAACACCTTCTTAAGTTTAAATTTTAACCAAATTCTTTAAGAGCATGTTAAAATAAAATGCTAAGCACAATTCACTCAATGTAATATATTTATTTACTAAAATTTATAGGATACATTTATTTATGATACTTTTAAAATGTGCTTTTTTTATTACAAAATATATTCAGATTTCCAAAATTCTTGGCGTTTAAATAATTGTATGCGTTGCATATTCTTACAATTGGCGAATTTATTTCAAGACGACATCTGGGCAAAACAAACATACGAGTATTCTTTTTGGGTCTACCGACCCATAAAGAATATGTTTGTTTTTTGCCCAGATGCTGGAGGTCGAAATGGTACATTTAACTTATTTTTTCCCAAATCGGAGTCAGTTATTTTTCCATTTTATTTTTCATTATTCTGCGTAGGAAATTTAAATCAGATATTTTTCGTCGTTATTAAGTGAATCTGTCTAACTTATAATGTTTTACTCGGTTTAAGGAGCTCTTCCCCCAAACCCATGCTTTCAGGATAAGGGTCGAGTAAAAGATGTCTGAATGGATTATATACATTACGAATGATTCGAGTAGTAAGGATTCCTCCAAGTTACACTAGAAAATTCTGATACACTTCTTACTAGACTTTTTTACAAAAGGAGACTGGTTGTTACTTTTTTAAACTCTTTTGTATTTCTTTTAATGAATGCCATCATCTTAGCGGCTTTAGTAGTTATTTATCGGTATGAGAAATGAAATTTAAATTCCAATCAAGCACTATTCCCAAATCACGTAACGTTGATACTTCTTTTAATTTTATATCATTAATTGTGTAAGCTGAGTCAAAGGTTTTTTAATTAAATAAATTTGCACACAACATGCAAACATTTCGATGGATTAAGAAACAAGTTATTATTTCGACACCATACTGATATTGCATTGAGATCATCTTTTTAGCTACTTTAACTTTTACTTGTAAGCTTATTTCGTATTTTATACTTATTGGCTAGCTACAAAAGCGAAGTCTTTTGGTTTTTTAAACTAAAATTTATTTTCCTAATTTACAAATTAATGATGATTATTATTTTATTATTACTAAAAAAGCAGCAAGTAATTTTATCACATATGCTTCATGACACAGCTTAGTACGTGGCAAAAGACTCTACCGTATGTTTAGATATGGAAAAAGGAAAAACTAATTAAATTATTGCATTACATTACATACATAGAAACATACACACGTAACAATCTAAGAAAAACGTGTTAAAAACATTGCATCGAAAGTTACCAATGGTTCAATCATATAATTAAGTCATGTATGCTAAAAAACAGAACATAGAAATATAAATTAGTTGCAATGTCTGCAGGTTGTGGGCTCGAATACTACCAAATATACTACCGATAATTAATATCAAAAAAATCCAATCTAAAAATCTAAGTGTGTATTTGCAATGCTTATGCAATGACGGGAGTTATGATGTAAAAGTAATGTCAAAAGTAATTCCCCGGTTTACTTGTTACTTGTACTTGTTGATAATATCACTTTACCATTGGTTCTTGTTGCTGGGTAAAGATAAAAGAGTAGAGGAAAATGTTTTTTTTGTCCTTTTCAATTAAAAAAAGTATGAGTAGACTAGACATAAACACGCAGCTATTATTTTATCAAAAAAGTTCGAAATAGGTAACGGTGTTTCGTTTTTCTGTTATGAATTATGGAGTCAAGATTATCGTACATTAACTTTATGTATCGATAATTGCATTATTTTGATCAGAAGTGTGAGAAATTTTCGATCCTTTTTATTCAGATCACAACCTGTGTATTATTTATTCTATTAAAGACAACGAAGATAAAAGTTCTAACGTACGCCGTGTCATGCGTCCAACTATACGGACTATGCACTTTGAACGCCTCGTTTGCAGTTTGAACTAGTTTGTTACGATACAATATCACCGTCGTGCGTTCTAATTCGATATATCTCCTCTTAGCCGTCGCGCCATGTCTTTTCGCAGCGACGACGGCACGCTCACTTAAGTGGCAGCATAGACGAGATTTGGCATCGCCTATAAAAATAGTGTCACAACTCCTTTTCATCCTGTTGGTGTCGTAAGAGCCGACTAGGGGAGCAAACTACGCAGGACAACAGAACTTCAAAAATAAGAAAAACTTGACACAAACCCTATACCATCCCGTCTGGCCAGCGAGGTATAGTAGGTCATAACGTCTTTTCTAAAGAAAGGCCTATGTCCAGCAGTGGACTATTAAAGGCTGTTGATGTGATGATGACGTATTTTATATGCAAATGTCAGAAATATTGTTGTTACTCTCGATACCTCTTATATCGTGATACTTTACTCTGTGTGTCATTAAGACATTTAAAATAATTATCATGTGCAGTGAACTAGACATAGAAGCAATACGACATATCCGCACCAATCCAGCTCTAGCCCGCATTACTCGTCCTACTAACACCAACGATTTTCCTTAAAGCATTCCTATAGAAATTAATTTTCTAGAGCGCTGTTCGCATGCCTTTTAAAATATCGAACATATCGCTCACAAAAACCAGTTTGACACAATGTAGGTCTTTGATGCAGCTCCACTGGCATTGTAGATAAAACAATTATTGTTTAATCCTTAATATCGAAATAATATGTCAATATTAAATTGATTTAAACATTAAGATTAAGAATTGATGCTTTCAAAATATTTCATGGCTGCTTAATTATTCCTTTAGTTGTTCGTTTGTCTATTTATTTTTAATGTGTTGTTGTATCAAGTGTAAAACAACATCGTATAGTAAGTAAGCTATTCTCCTTTGAACTGTAAAAACATCAAGCTACTTAAGAATTACATTATAACAATTTTTTACGCTTTGTAGTTAAATCAAAGTTTATGTATTTTCTATTGACACAGAATCAGAATAAATTTGGCGGCAAGCAAGGTCTTACAGTAAGTATATAGGTAAAGGAAAAATATGAGTCGTATTTAGGGTTCAAATGTCTATTACAAAGAAAAAAATCTTTTTTACCAATATTTATTAGTAAAATGTACGTATTAAAGATTATCCCAAATTTCAAATTCACAGATTATAGGAAATCAAAAAAAATCTTCGGAAAAAAATTTAAGGCAAGAGTGGTGATTTGGAAATTTACGGACGAACTATCCACATAGGTACAAGTTTGAACCAATTAGCTGTTCAGCTAGGATAAATATATATATTTCTCAATTATTATTTTTAATAATAATTAAGTAAATAAAAAAGACGGTAGTTATAACCATTACAATATAATGTCTGTAACTTTTGTACTAAGGACTTGTTTATATATTTTACGTTACACTACAAACAAATAAAACTTAATCAGGATGTCCGTGATTAATTTATCAATACTAAAACTTTTCTTTACAGGGTTCTTTTCTAAAATATATAACTGGCTTGTGAAATCAAAATCATCGTGGTCGTTCTTCGACAGCAGCTGGTTTTTAGATGAAATGACACCAAAAAAACCACTATCATCAACTACTCCTCAGCCGTTAACAACGGCGCCAAGCAGCTGGTTTCAGACACTTCTGGAAACAGAAGATGGAGAGAGTTCCTACGTTACGGATGTCGATTTCAGTATGAGTAAGTGGTAGAACTTATCACCAGCGAAAAGTCCGTTTTGTTCACCGGACTTGCAGCTCTACTGTCAGATCCTTTAAAGTGTTCAACTTTTTTAAGAACCTGAAATTAAAAACTATGTTAGAATTTATTAGTATATAAAATTTATGTGAATATTTGATATATTCACATATATATCAAATATTCAAAATCAATCAATCAATAGACAAAAAAAGTACTAAACAGGACAAGAATTCCTTCAAACGATTACATTTCATTTGAAGACATTAATCGTTTCACTCCATAAAAAAGGTTCAGACAAAATCAAGCATATAACGGTATGCTTTTTTATTGATTGATTGTAAATATAAACATATATATTATTTTATGCACTAGCGAATGTTCTAGTTTTGATTAAAAGTGGAACAGTTTTATTAGCTTATAAGACTTTTTTTATTTATTTAAGAAAGACCAATCGTATTCGCAGTATCTTTATACTAATGAGTTGCCGGCTGGATACAAGACAGATTAGACAGTTGAAGATAGATAGATTAAGATTTGGAATTATTAATCACCTTGAAGTATAATGTGTAAATGATAGTTCATAGACTTTAAAATGACTGTAAACAATTTAAAGTCCAGCAACTTGAATGTTATGAGTCAGTGCATCAGACAGCAACTTAAAATATAAATAAATTGTATTTGTAGTGTGTTGATTATTTCTTTTTTATTTATTGGAATGTATTTTATATTTATTTGACTAGCCTGTCGGTCTGGTGCTCAAGCGATCCTGACTGTTAACCTAGAGGTCGTGGGTTTGCTTGCCACCGAATACAAATGTTGCGTGATAAGTACTATCATTTGTTTTGCGTCTGGGTGTAATTTATCTATAGTATGTATGTAATTAAAAATATATAATTATGTTTAATTATAAATATGATCCCGTTGACCGCAATAGGCCTGCACCCCATTATGTAAGTGCAAAAAAATTGTAGTCGGCAAAATGTCGACGTTTAAAATGTCCCTGTATGTATATAGTCATAGTATGCTTCAACATATTCGCGCCAACTCGACCTGAGTATTATGACGACAACGCGGAAAACCGCTGTTAGGCAATTTTTTCGTAACTTTTCACCGAGTAAGTTAGGTAACTTGGGCTTGTAGGTAATATGGGCGGCAATAGCCACTTATCAGCAGTTGATCTATTAATCTAGCTCCCTATATAATAAATAAATGTATTGTTTTTAGAAATACATAGATAGCAACTATGTAATGATTCATGATGTGATGATTCAAATCAGTATTACTATATCAAGAAATCAATTAACTAAATAAAAAAATCTGACTGCGTTAAAAATACTAACTTGTAAACACACCATTTTTTCAATTTTGTAACTATTTGGAATCGTTTAGAATTCTGCATTTTAATATGCAACGAGCTGGGTTTGGAGGAAAAAAAACAAAGCCTTCAATATGGCGCTGAAAATTACATATTTTTTATTGAATGCTTTGATACAAATTTATCTAACTAACGGTAAGTAATTTCATTGGTTACCAAGGAACAGCATATATACATACAAATTGATCAAAGACGTAACCTCCTTTTTTGCCTCGCCGCAGTAAAATACCCGCTAGATTATATGAAGGTATAAAAATTAAAGTCCGTTTAGACTGTCATTAGACTTAAAGTTAGACCAAAAACTAAATTAGAATGTTACAGCTGCTGCATGTAGGATGCGGACTGGTCACATTCCTTGTAGAAGTTTCGGATTTCTAATGAAAAGGTTGAGTTAGAATATTGTGACGTATGTGGAAGACATGATGACATTTATCACATACTTATGGAATGTGTACGGTATGTCGATAAAATAACCCAATTGTTATATAAATTTAAATTAACTCTGAACAATGTTGGCATATTTCAAAGCATTTTAGTTGATCCAAATTCGGAGGCAGTTAAAATGCTTTATAATTTAGTTTCAAGTAGTTATAATAATATTATGTAGTAGTTAGCTTAGAATAAGGTACTATCGGATTGACATAGTCATTTTTATGTAGAAAAATCCCTTGTCTGAAATAAATAGAAAATCATTCATTAATGAAAAAAAAAGTTACAGGAGGTGGAGTGCCATTAGAGTACTCTAATGACACTCCAACTCCACTCCATAGTTATTGTTGTAACGTCTAAAATATTACAAATAGACCGGGATCATAATACAAAATAATAACAAATATGACATCCGATGAAGGCCAGGAATACTTTATTTGTTTTGAATTCCCACACGACTTTAATAAAACTAGTTTACGCCTCATGATCACTAATGATTGTCTTCTTGACATATCCCTATAACCACTCGTCTGGCCAGCGTGGTATTGTAGGCCAAAACCTCCTTTCTTAGGTGAGCCCTTATGATGTAATTATCTGTCAAAGGTTTTCAGATATATTATATTAATAAATAAACGTCAATACTCAAAAACAAAAAAAAAAAAGGAAATCTGTTGACAAATAGAAAAGAAAAACAGCATAAAATTTTTTTGCTCTGACTACTTATATGTAGATTTCAAATCTACATAGAAATCGAAGGAGTTCGAAAAACAATAAAGAAGTTGCTGATGAGTATTGATCGTTTTTCTCTTGAGGCGAACCGATCAAAGTTATCAAACCACAAATGATTTCATGCGATATTACACGTGCAAGATTTCCGTTTTCCTGCGCTCGCATTTTTAGCAGACATTACGCAACAAGCCCGAGATATGCGTAGAAAACATAAATTCAAGTATAATATATATCTACAAATGAAAGTGAAGACATTATCTGTCGTTACCGTTCTTAATGTACTTTCTAGAATAAATGTGCATATTACCCGCACTTCGCCTTCTGTTACAAATGTTCTAGTTTATTTTTATCTTACCACAGTCGTAAAAGAGTGTACTTTCGTTGTGATACTTAGACGTGGTTGATCTTCATTCATCACTCACTGTGTTCATCAATATCTGTTTCGTAATTTACTATCTGTTTCACTTCTAAACATAGGCCTTACCCATAGCCACTCTGTAACAGAGCAGCGTAGGTATTTAGCAGAGAGGTTTAGGTTTCGAGGTTTAGAATTTTTTACATGTCTATTGATTGGAACTGCTCCATCGATCATTAATAACAAAGATCAGAAAACTTAATCCGAAGCCTTACACTACTGGCCCCAATATCGGATAAAAGTTGAATGAAGAATGATGCTAGTTAAATTTTAGAAATGAAAAATATATTTTTTACGATCACAAAAAGCGCCTTATCGGTTACTTCGGGTCAAATTTCTACGTCTTGATTCAAATCACGGAAAGGAAAACCAAGTGAAGCTTTTATCTTTAGCAACTTCGAGCTCAGTTATGGGGCTAATTTAATTTTAAGATACGAACTAGCGACCTGCCCTGACTTCCCACAGGTGCAATGTATGTCAGTGTGTGGTGTCAGTTTGGAGTAATTGATTGTAGTGTTATACATTTACACATGTACATACAAAACCTTCCTCTTAAATGACTCTCTCTATAGATTTAAACCGTATTAAAGGTTGCGTAGTCTATCTAAAAGAACAGGAACGTTAAAGAGACTTTATTTTGGTCTATGTAAAGAAGCTGCAAACAATGATACGACTTAATATTTGTGCCAATGAACATTTCTATCACTCTATATTATACCACATCTTGTAAACCTAATTGCTTGGACTTTTAACGACATACTAATAGATATATAGAATAGCACATTTGTTATATGTTCGTAGAAGCAATGCATCAGACTTTCTTTACGGCTTACCTCAGGTCGACCCGCCCTTAATGTGTATTGTTTTTGTCCACTTTTAATCTAAAACTAGTCTTAGATACTAGGATAACGATATTATACTCAAACACTTTACTAACTATTCTATTCCAGAAAAGAGTGCAAAGAAAGCCATTAAGAAAAACTATAGAGGATATCAGCTATTAAGAACATACCCAGACGCCAAGTGGAAAGTTCACGAGATGATAAACTTGCAGGAAGAGGCGCAAGACTCAGGGGTCATGTGGTGGACCCCACCGTCATTTAACGGTACTACTGACGTACTTGTGCCTCCTGACCTCCTGGTTGACGTCAAGGATCATCTCAAATCAAACAAAATAGACTTCGATGTAGTAATATGGGATTTACAGGTAAATCACCTTTGAAATAGATATAGAAATATGTTTAATATAAAGAATAAATGCTTTGTTTCGCTCAAAATAAAGTTTTAACAGTTTTACGGAATTTTGGAATCACATTTATTTGTGTAAATCCAAATAAAGCATAAAGCCAATAACATGCTATTGGGTTCATTTGTAAGAAAATAATTTTCAGTTTAAATAAGAAATCAGGAAAACGAAAATAGTTTTTATTCAATAACAGCCTTACCGCGGAAATGGGTTAAATAAACTCTGATGCCTACATAAAGGGAGTTTTATTAACAATTATAATTTGTTATCCCAGTCATTAATATATGGACCAAGTCTGAAATAAATTATTATTATTATTATTAAACATACTTTAAGGAAATTAATTTAGAGTTCAAGTATTCAGCCTAAACTTGAAGTTATGTCTTCATAATATGTTTTTTGGTTTTGACATTAAAAGCTATCAACGGTAAATCAAAAGAGTTCCGTTGACGCCTATACACACACATAAACGATAAATAATAAAAACAAATGTTTTACACACATACTCGTACATAAGCCAAAATTTGAAATTATGTTTTCTTAATATGTTTTTTGTTTTTTTAAAGATGTTTTACTGTGCTAGCATTCTCAAGTATTAAGCTATTTTTTAAGTAACAGAATGAGTTTTTACTATTCTAGATGAAAAATCTAGTTCGGAAGGCTACAAATCCAGCAGTAATTGTACTGTAATGAACTATAAATTTAACTGATTTTAATTTTATCCGCCAATAACGCTAATAACATTGTATGTAGGTAAGGCTCCCACAATAAACAAACATTACAGTAAGGAAATATTTATTGCAGAGTAAAATTACCTATAACGCATGGGTGTACGATAAATACGCTATCAACACACTTTACTTATTCCACTGCGGTTTTAGTTGAGGTTTGCCAAGTTTCATGTGCCGAACAACACAAATACATTAAAAATGTAATAATACATTTTAGTTAAAGGTAAAGTAAGAATACAGGGCATTATGTATTTGTAGTAGTTGTCAAATGTCTTTTTATTTATCATCAAAACGGTATATTCTCTTGAAATTTGAATAAAAATACAACAGTGAGTAACTTCATGCTTGCTGTCGTCAAATCATTTACTTTATAATGATACAATGTACACAGTGCGTATGTAGTGACGTAGTGTCTGTAGCGAATTGTACATTGTATGACCATGCTTTAAACAATTTAAAGCAGTATTTACCTACACACGCTTCCATACATAATTTTAGTGCCTACTCAGATGTATACAAGTATGGATACAACTTAAACGAGGACAATATGGACAACGACAATAGACAAAAAAGCATAAAGTTGTATGCAAGTCTCGTCACGCCGCGTTGCCCGGCCCTATTATAACGTGCTTACCTACAATGAATGGTATAAATATTTAGTTATAAAACTGAACAAAGATTAGAAACCATACGTGACCATTCTAGAAAGCATTTATATTGTTACCTCACGGTACAGCAGATTCTCCGTACATAATTCAAAGGTTTTGAATTTAAAGAACCGTATTCTAATAAATAACAAGAAGACTGCATGATTTCAATCAAACTACTAAAGAGTCAGAATTCTTTTTCTTCTCATCTTCTTAAAAATCATGAAATAAGAATAATAAGGTTTATACCACAGAACAGCAAATACTCGTAAACATTAGAAGTGCTATCAACGGTAAATCAGAAAAAGTTCAGTTGTTGCCTAGACGCACACATAAACGATAAATAATATTTTTACACACATTAAAAAGTTCATGCTAATATGTCCCACAGAGTTTCTTGAATATAAATCCTAAACGCCACTTATTAAATAAGTAATTCGTCGCCAGTCGTAATTCGTTTAGGGCGAAGGTGCGGGCTCTTCTTGACCGGAATGTAGCGGAATCATCACAAATATGATACTTTATGTATTATGGTATATATGTATGTGTATATATATAACACAATATATATGAATATGAATGTATGTATTCTTGTATGTATACGTTGGTATTTATATATTATTTCATTGCTTTTTGCTCAGTATTGCTATCATTACTTCTTTTATGTCCACTTTATAACTCTCAACCAAAGGGTAGTGCACCTCCACACTCATTTCCACACCACCCTAAGGTAGACTGGTAGAGAATGCCTATGGCATTAAGTCCGCCATTGTACTTGTGTGCATAAAGTTGATAAATAAATAAATAAATAAATAAATATAACCTTAAATTTTTTTAAATAAAGTAACGTTTCAAGCGACCCGTATTGATCTAGAGGCGGTTCGGCAAAACACCGTGGTAGTGATGTAGTAGTACTTTTGCCATTTATCGAAAAAAGATACGAGAATAATTTAACATTCCTTCAACTACATTCATGAACATTTTATTGTAAAATAATACTACTCTTGTATGCAAAATATGTTATATAAGAATAAAACAGAATTAAATAATATGGTTGAAATATAATGTATTTAAAATATTTATTGACCCTGAAATAAAATATATTCATTGTATTATTGCCGTTTTGTGTCTTTTGTACATTGTATATTTGCAAAATAAAATGCTTTTCAAAATGTATGTATTTTTTAATAAATGATATGATGGTGGGTATTCATCTATTTGATGAAAGCTTATCTCATTAAGTATGTTACAACCTACTAACTCGCAGACGCAGAAGACTTGCAGAAATATCCGATTTTTATTTACGCACCTTAGTTGGTCAGTTGGTCATTTCATTTTTCGTTAAAACTAATGCTATGATCAAAAAGATCTTCAAAATAAGGTCATTAAAAAAATTATGCGATCAAAAGACACCTCCTCTTTTCTGATGCCGGTTAAAAATCATTAAACAGTACTAAACATAATATCAGTGTAAAATTCAAAATTTAACAATTATATAGCGATGCCGAATGCATTAAAATAAGATTGGCTACTTCACTATCTCAATATTCCTGCAATAAATGCAGTTCATGGCGTGCTCTCGTGGTTACATTGTAGTTAGTACTCAACACTGCTTTGTGGTTTATACACTCGGTCTTTTACTTGGATTTAGAAATTTATATAGCAGTACATTAGTCTAATAACTCAAAAGTGTTAGCGTCTTATGTACTATTTCTATTTAGAAACAATGTTTTAGGACCTAATAATACTTTTTTTTTTGTATCAGAAAGCGATTACCTATGAAAACCCCCGACTTTCGAAGAAACAACGATTAGAATTGGAGCATTTACGAGGTCATCCAATGACATGGCGGCGATACCATCGATATGCTGACATCCTTCGATATTTGGAATACTTGCAGCATTCCCATACTGATTTGGTTGAGCTGATACCTTTAGGGCGATCATCCGAAGGTTTACCACTGGTTGCCGTTAAGGTATGCATAGATGTAGAAAAGTCAATAGAAATCTTCTAATTTTTTGTTAACCTAACTGAAATTACTTTATACCTAAATTAAATAACTTTCTACGTCTTCCATTTAAGTAATTGGCGTGGTGCTTCTCTCCTTAGTTCACTCCATAGAGCTTTATTAAAGGCTTGAGTTGGTGCACGTCAAACTTGTTTCGGTCAAGTTGCGTGCAGGTCTAGCGACTTTACCTACTCTCCAGCGAAAACATACTTTAATTTTATTTGTGTTGTTGTCATAGCCACAGTTTCCCTATCGATAGTTGATCTAAAAAAAAAACATTGACATTGTGGTAATAAGAAATATTGACATTGTGAATAATATCGATAGTATAAATGTAATGTATGAAAATGCCAATAATGTGACTGATGGAGTTTCGATACTTACGAGTCATTAATACCGATACTACTTCTGACTAGTTGATAACGTCCGATACCATTAAGGTATGAAAGAAGATAAATATAAGATACCCTTCTGTGATAATTATCTAGGTAGGTAATATATTGTGCATCAAATTTATTTTACATGAATCTACAACATAGAGAACTAGATTAGATGTTTTACTATTATTGGGTTACGTCCCAGACTGGGATAGGAGAAGAATAATTGTCTTAATAAGCTGTCTAGCTTACAGTTTACAGTTTCACAGAAGAAAACAAAACATAAAAATAAAATTAGTGTAACATTATAAGAAATAGTAATAAATTTAAAGCTTTCTGTGCATTCAGATATCTTGAGTATATCTGTGTTTGATAATGTGTTAAGCAGGGTGTGCATGCGAGCGTGTGTATGTGCAGACATTATCTTGTGTAAGTAGTTAAGAACACTGATTTCAAATAATGCACACAGTACGGCCTTTTTTAAGACTACTTAAGACCTTTTCAACATTATGTAGGATAGGTTTAACTTTATATTTGAAATACATATAACCATAAACTTTTTCATTAATATTATGATTTAACATTATAATATAAGATTATTTTGACAAACTAGAAATTATACCACAGTCATATGTCACATTACAAAAATCTGGGGAGGCATCTTCAATTATTTTAATAGCATCAATTAAGAAAACTTATTAAATGATATATAATATAATATATAATATATTCTACCACATACACACAACGCCATCTAGTCCCAAACTAAGCAGAGCTTGTACTATGGGTACTAGACAACTGATATAAATACATAAATACTTTTTTTTTTGTAAATACATACATATTATACATAGAAAGACCAGACCATTTGGAATAGCAGTCCGTTACACAAACCACTACGCCATCCAGTCGTCAAATGTCGAAACTATTATATTGATTAAAACATTGGAAAATTTTATCGTAACAATTAACTCATATCACTCAATAAAATGAATTATAATAAACAGTATTCGTCACTCCTCAATTTTCCACCTTCAAGCGTGGTGTTTTATTTTCAAACTTGAATGGAAGCAATCGAGGAGTATACCCGAGGAGTATATCAAATAGTAATGACTTAGATAACAAACATTTAAAAAAAATACAACCAAATTGAGAATATCTCCCTTGTTTTTGATGTCTGTTGAAGTCTGAAGACAACATATGAGTGGTCAGTATCAGACTAGAACAGACAATTTTAAAGCACAGCGATAATATCATATATATGTATGTCGAAGGTTTACTACGTAAACAGATTAAGCGCAGTCAACTTTAGTTATGGATTAAAGCGTTTTTTACACCTAACAAAGCTTTATGATTTAAGTAACTCTTTAGTCAGTTTTTATTATTTACAATAACTTCTACTACTAAGTCGTCAAATTACGTGAAATTATTTACCAGATATCACTGTCTGGAAACGACGTGAATAATGAAAACGGGAATAAGAAGAAATGGAAGCTCCGATCACGCATGAAACCCGCAGTATGGCTGGATGGCGGTGCACATGCTCGAGAGTGGATAGCACCAGCTGTTGCGACTTGGATAATTCATGCCCTGGTTGAAGGAGAGAAAGGTTTAGGTCAGTACTAGTATTCTTTTTTGGATAGAAGTCTTTATCAACTTATTTACACCTTTATTCAGGTAAATGGAACGTCGTTTTTTGGCAAAGAAAATAACATAAAATTTTTACTTGACCATATGTACAACATTTAATTATGATTGTCTAAAATATTCATTTAAAATTTATTTTAGGTAAACATAAATATTTTGTACGATTTGGGTTACAACAAGGTGTGAAAATCCATCAATTGGCTGCCTGACTACGAAATACACTGGCATACCTACTAGTAGTTTCTACAAAAAAAATATGTAGCCAATTTTTTAATGTCATTAAATTCAAATGAATATATTGAATATAACTCTTCGTGTAGGTACCCATAACAATTATTGCTAATGTTTCCGGAATCCGGAAGATTTGCAATTATCGACGCGTTAGAGGTTCTAGCTCGATTCTAGACTAAGTCATTTTTAGTAATTAATTTACTTACCAACATAGAATTAGCAGAAAGTAAATTGGGTTACAATCATACATACGCCGCACAGTTTTATTTTGTTCAGAATGCGAAGTGTGTAAGTGAATGTCGGTTTCTTTAAAAGATCAATGCATATAATAATAATAACTTCACGCATCTCACACGCGACATCTCCACTTTTTCATCAGCTTCATACTCCCTCACCACCGCGTCCTCTTGTAGTGTAGTTCTTCTTGTATATTCTTGGAGTAAACTGTTGCAATATCTGTCTCCCTACATTTTTCAGTATGAACGTGAAGTGTATAAACATTAATAGTACCTACTGGGTGATAAATAAAGAAATAGGTTAACTAAATGGTGCATCAACAGCCATTACAAGTCCACTGTTAGACATGGACTACTTCATAGAAAGGTGGTTTTGGCCTACTATACCACGCTTGCCAGACGGGTTGGTATAGGGTTTCTGTCAAGTTTTCCTTCTCTTTGCAGTGCTGTTGTCCTGCTTAGTTTGCTCCGTTAGTCGGCCCTACGACACGCACGGGATGAATTGGGGTGGTGAAACTTCGTATTCTTAATCCGTCACCACGCGGTGGTGGTTACACACTGTTGAAGTGACATTTTATTATTGGACTTTAGCAACAAAGTAGGTGCACCATGGTTAAAGGCCCCTTTCTTCATGATATTTCATTTCAGTTTGATAACATTATTAAAAGTTAGAGTGATGTGTTTGTTTTTCTTGTTTTCTATTATTAGGCGCAGATCACGACGTGCTCAAGCAGGCTGACTTCTACATCATGCCGGTGTTGAACCCCGACGGTTACGAACACTCACATACTCACGACCGGCTTTGGAGGAAAACACGGTCGCGTCTGGCCGATCATTCCGACGACTACTATGTAGGATGGTTAGTAAAAACTGCACTAACTTTAAAGGATTATCATAGTTGAAGTGTAACGTTCAGAAAGCCATTTGTGACCAGACAAGTAGTAATTTCTATTACTTTAAATGATACGCAGTTACAGTCAGCAGAGAAAGATGAAAACATTTAAATTTGGCATAAAACCTTTTCTTATTTATGATTAATAAAAGATGTAACGTAGCATATTATAAATCATCGATTAGTTGAAGATACTAGTGTTAGTGAAAACCAGATCTGTTTAAAATATAACTTCTAAGGTAAAAAAAAAATAAGAACAAATATTTTTGTACAGGTTTTGTACTTTAGAATATAATATAGGTACTTTACATTGCATAAAGATAATTCGTATGTGTATGAGAGAGAGTAATATGTATTACAACTGTTTTCATTTACTTCTTAAAAAGAAACTCACTGTAAAAGTTAAAAGTGATCGCACTAAAAATGTGATCTGGATAGGTTGGGAGAAGCCACTGGCTTTCCCTGAGATAGGGCCTAGTTAGGTGAGGCGTCCACCCGTCAACAAAAAAAAAAAAAGCCAGTCTTTCGAAAGCCGTGATTATTAGTATTCACACTTAACTTGTGGTGTATTGTTATAAACTGAAATATTAACAAAAGAAAAGTTATAATGAAGTTAAGCATTTTAACCTTTTTGCACACTTTTTAGAAAGTAAGTTATTTATTCCGGTAAAGCTGAGGGATATGTTGAGACATCCTGTTTGAGCTTGTCCATAATAATTGTGAGCAACACTCACGGAAATGTTCTTGTTTTGTTTGACACATCCGATGTTATCTCACGTTTGCATAAGCATATGAAGAGAACATGTTGACACTTAAAGCTGTAAAAAAGGAAATATGATATATTTTGGGTATTCTTCTGTTTTAAACGTCATTGCGTTTAAAAAGTGCAATGTTTAGATATTCCAAAGGCGTAGTGAATTTTATGTAGATGTGCACTAAGAAAGTATTTTCTTAAATTCCACCCATAAGGGTGCAAAATGCGGGTTGGAAATTTATTTGATACTTCGTTATTATTGGTAGTAGGGTTTTTAAACTCACAGTAAATACTCGTTATTAAAGTAATTAAAAACGTTGTTACTAATTAGTCTCACTGCTGGGACTCATGCCTTTTCCAAATAAAAGGAGGTTTCGATCTACTAATCCACGCCAGACTGGTTGGTATAGGGTTTGTGACAAGTTTTCCTTCTCTTTGCAGTGCTGGTGTCAGTGTAGTTTCGTTTAGTAATAATTAATACAGTAGGAAAAAAAGGTATTTTTAATTATAATTCAGTTTGTAATTTTATTTGTAATTTAGGTTTTTAGTTTTAAAATTTAATTTAATCTTGATTCATTGTATCCTCTACAATGTCTGATATCAACCACACGGACGAAGTCGTTCGCAAAGCTAGTTATTTATAACTAGCTTTGCCCTGAGTCCTAGATCTTGTTAATTATATTTCAGCTTTTTTTCAGATTATTATATCTCAAATTTCATCAAATTTCGTTTAGACGTGATTACAAACCAAGATCCAAGTATAAGTAAGTGGGTGTATACAAAATTAATAACTCATCATTCTGGTTTTTATTTTCTGCTATTGTAGTACCGAAAAATACCTTAGAAGTGATATTTTCTGAAACTATCGGATAATGTAGAATAATATAATATCTGTAACCGTATCTACAACCTGTAATCAATTCATTTTTATATCCATATCCACTTTATAACCATATCATTTTAGAAACATGAATGCAAGCATGATATCCTCCTATCGGTATTGCATAAAATGGCATTTATAAAACGATTTACATCCACTGCATAACATTTTTACATGGACATTGGATTTTCCCTTTTACACATGGCATGCATACGTAGTGTCTTCTAGGGCTTGAGACATTTGTAGTATTTGTTTTTCTGTCTGTAATTGTATTCACGTCTGTATAAATTCTATTTATGTCTTATAATTGTATTCATATTCAGTCTCAAAATAACTGGCATTTAAATGTATTATAAACACTAATTAACCTCCTTTCTAAGGAGAGGCCTATGTCCAACAGTGGACTATTAAAGGCTGTTGATGATGAAACACTAATAAAACTTTCTACTGTCATGATATTCTACCATACTTATCACAGAGATTATCAATGTGAATTTGACTTTTGAATGTGAATTTAACTAATGACAAAATAATCTTTAAATACCAACTGCTGTGACAATAATGGTATGAAATACTGGGTGCAGTTACGGCGCTGTTATATTGATAATATGTAATATAATACATTGCCATTATAAATCTAATGTTCAGATTCAATATATTTACCGCTTTGTTTAACTTTAATTAATTTTCTTCATTTTTCTTAAATAATTACTATTTTAACCAGATCATCAAATTGGATCAACTCACGCGAGCCCGCAAGCCAAGACACGCAACTATCTTTATATCAATTACTGTATTTTACATTTTTGATAAACACTTATTCTGTTGCCGATGTTGCATTAATCCCTAACTTACCAATTATGAATACAATTTTTTGAATTACCAGGCATTAGATGGATCTCGATATTATTTACTAATTTGGTAATTAACCTAACCTTAAGTAGATCCAAATTTCCTTCCTTCCTTTTTACAAGTAAAATTATAACATTGTGCGTATTCCAAAAACCCCACGATCAACACAGAAAATCAAGTTATTGCTTTAGTGATAAGCAAATATTCATAAACACTAATTTTGGCTGTACTCCAATTTCATACCTGCATATGCGTACAAACTTGGACAAACCTGGTCCATCTTCGAATGTCCGTTATATTTTATTGTGCACCATCAACATCAACTATCCACTGCTAGGTCTCTTTTTACAAAGGAGGTTTTGTCCTGCTATACCGCGCTGGCCAGATGGGTTTATATAGGGTTTCGTATCAAGTTTTCCTCCTCTTTACACTGTTGTTGCCCTGCGCAGTTTGCTCTCTTAGTCGATTCTTACGATACCAACGTGATAAATAGGGGTTGTGACACTCCATATTCTTAATTTGTTACGAAACGGATAATTTTTTATTGTTTATTTGATTTTTTTTCTCTAAAAAAGTGTTGTGACCATAATTATTGTGTTCTCAAATACATAAATGCACAAAATTTATGATTCAATTTTGTAAAGAAAAAATTCTATATATTGCTTATTTTGTCAGAAAAACTCTAATATTTATAAATAGCCGTTACCATTCAAGTTGACGTGTGTAAAGTCCCCACAAATAAGACACATCAATTAAGGGGTCAATTGCGTGCAAATACACATAGTAGTATCCGGGTCACAAGTAAGTCACGACAACTTCTTACTGTTCCAAGTTTATGTTCCAAGTAATAGGAAAATTGAGTGCCGCAATTAAAGCTGTAACTGTACATAGATGCTTTATAAACAGGATAAAGGCAAAAAATTATAAGAGTATGAAAACAGTTCAAACAAATTTTCCGATACAAAAGAAAAAAGTTTTTTGTTTCTTTATTATTATCATCCAAAAAATCTTGAAATAAAGTGGAGACTTGCAAAGCGTTTAAGTTCCAAACACGACGTAAGTAGATAATTACAAAATATTATAAATTGCAAGTAAATCCTGATCAGCATACTTTTAAATAATTTTCTATTTAGTTTCAACTTTATTCCTATCATTCTCTGAAGAATTCCATATGCATGAATAAGTTCTTCCAAGCGGTTCACATGAACAAGTTCACATTATGTATTTATCGTAGTAAGTCGCCTGGTGGACAACATGCGACTCAATTTTTTATTTTATTTATTTAACTTTATGCACTTTTGTACATCGGCGGACTTAATGCCCAGGACCCTGATTACGTCCTAATATATTGTCAATGAAAATATATGTAACGGTTCGCTATATACATACACATACATACAACACAACACATCATAAATACACATATATTCAATTAAATACATACATATATATTCAATTATATTTATATAGATAAATAGACATATTATATTCGCATACTATGAATACCGGAAAATGAGGTATACTATGGATTAGATAGTTCGGCCATTTCGTTAAGGAGATCATGTACCATCTTTTTGAAATTAAAGTGGTTGCTTGAACAAAGAGCTCACGAAGTCGAAGTTGTGTGAGGGACATAAGAGAAGCAGATTATAAACTGAGCGAAGATTTCTGTCGTGGTTAGTGGACAGGTAACGGAAGTAGGGAGCAAGGTAAGTAAGTGAGGACGGTGAGTTGAGAAATCAAAATAGAGAGGTAAGTGCACGCTGTTTGAGACGCAAGCAAATAGGTAACCAGTTTAATAAGGAACGCAAAGCAGACACATGGTTGACCGACAGTCCAAATCTCATCAACCAGGATTTTATGACCTCAAGGTCCCTGTTGACCTCGTCAATAGCCTGCGTTATGTCCTCTACGCTTGCCTGTGAGTACAGCTGCAGATCATCAGCACACAGGGGATACGCACACTGATGATGTTGAGTTATGAGGTTAATAAATATTGAGAATAGGAGAGGAGATAAAATTCCGCCTTGTGGGACGGCAGCGTAGAGGTCGCACCAACTTGATAACTTGTCGCCCCCGACGATAGGTTGAGAACTATTCCAGTGCCTCAGAAAGAACCATAAGATACGTAAAGATAATATATCAGGATTTCGTGATAGACAGTATTAAAGGTATTAGAGAAGTCAACTAGGACTAATACTGTGACTTGTTCTATGCCCTTCCTAATATCGCTAGTCACCTTAAGAAGAGCGGTAACTGTGTTGTGACCGGGCCTGAAGCCGGATTGTAAGGGGATTAAAAGTTGGTTTCTGTATACAAACTGTGAGAGTTGTTTATGTACACAGGCCTCGAGTACTTTAGATAAAAAAGAAAGAATAGCAATGGGTCGAAAGTCCTCAGGAAGTGAAGGGTCATTATTTTTTAGTAGAAGGCCTTGCGCCACAAACAGGGAAAGGTATTAGAGTCGAGAGAGAAGTTTGATTATATGAGTAATTATTGAGAGAATACAGTCTAGGATGGTGACAATTATGCGACGGCTAATGCTTACACACCCAATAGCATTACAACGGATAGATAGAATAATCTTCTTGATATCCTCAGGAGACACTTTAGAAAATTCAAACGAGTCACTAGTGGGACTGGTAAGACCAGATATATGTAATGTAGCGTTTGACACTTAGTTTGAAGATCCAGCGTAGCTGTGGATGAGAAATGACGGTTGATGAATTACTATCTATAGTTTTAATTTGTTTAATTTGCCAGTATAATTTGAAACTATCCTAGTTAGACATGTGGACACCTGTATTTAAGGATTTTCTTCGATGCACTTGCAGTGCCGGCACAACATGTTTAAAACATGATATTGTATGATTACGACTATTCTATTTGCTAATAAAACCTTTATTATAGGATATCATTCAAACATAAACGCAACCTTCATCACCAAAAATAACAGTTTTATATTAAAATGTTCGCACTATGTGTTGATCGACTTTCGGGAAAATCTCATGATTCCTAATATTGGAACGAAGTTCCTTATCGCGCGTTAGACGCTCTGAGCGGATGGAAGCAAGACAGAAAAATGTACAACAAGACTTTTTGCCGACACTTCTGTTGGCGCGTCAATGCTCACATCTCTTTCACATTTCATATACATATAAAACAAACGTCTACCAAAAAGCGAAAGAAACTTCGTTCCTACCGGGCGTACATAGACCTCTTATGCCGTTTTTTTTTGTTTTATTTACATTAATTTTTTTTTAAGACAGGAAAATCTCCAATCTCCGCGTCGTAACCGTCGGATTAAAAAAAAAATTAATAAAATGTCAGAGAATTATTTTCCTGGTATAAAAACTTATCTCACGACACACTTACCTATTTCAAAAATTTATTTTGAATTGTCATATTACATAACGCAATAATGGGCACCCAAGCCAAGCACTTTCATTGTTTAACCTTCAAAAATCCTATCAAGCTAACATTTACTTTTTTTACTCTACAGGTTTCCATGGAACTGGGGCCAAACTGAATGTATAGGCGTGGATGCAGATCGCAATTGGGATTATCACTGGAGTGAAAAAGATTCGTCTCGCAACCCTTGTTCTGAGAACTATGCTGGTCCACACCCATTTAGTGAACCTGAGACACGAGCGGTTTCAGAATTCCTTGCAGAACATAAAGGACAAATTAAGGTATACTAGATATCGTCTGGCGGTGGAATTTCAATCGCCTGAAATTTCTTGTCTTATTCCATTGTCCAGTACAGTAACTTGAAGTGGCATTGTTAAGTCCTTAGTACCATGACAAATCAAAATATATACTGGACCCTATAGTTCTATTTATATTATTATTACATATGTTTTAACATTTATAGCACATAGATGCTGTTTGAAAATTCTAGATTTCTGTACTCTTCTACAGATAAACAGTAAATATTCCAAAATGATATGTTTCAGTGCGCCATATTTCTTTAAAGAGGAGTAGGTACATTTTTATTTTCACCTATTATTAAATATATACTAGCGACCCGCCGCAACTTCGCATGGGTAATTATTAATTATATTTTTTTTACGATTAGACATACTACATGTAGTGTTATACTACGGGATATCTTAATCTTATATTATAAGAATGAATTGCTGTTTGTCAGTCTTACTAAAACTCGCGAATGGCTTAAAATTTGCAAAATTACTAATTACTAATCGGTCCGGCTAACTTTGATCTTGGAATATTTGGGAAAGTCCAGGGGAAGTTTAAACAGTTTCTCAATATTTGACAAAACAGAGATTGATGCTATTGTATGTTGATCTATGAATTTACACTCAGAGTCCACACAAGAGAAGAGAGAGAGAATAGATTTTTTTTTATGAAATAAAGATATTTGGAGTTTCAGGGCAAATACGATTAGATTGATAATAAAACAGACACAATAATTGTTGATCATAATAAAGCTGGATATTTAAAGATTTGTTCAGCATGATCATACTAAAAGTGACGAACTTATGAAAAAATTAGGGCTTTATGAAAAAATGCGAATTCTCAATCATTGGTGAGTAAAGGCTTCGGAGAATTTGTTGTTCGCCCAACAAAACGGTTGACACTGTTAAATGCCCTATTTCCTTTCCTTTATAACCGTTTTGTTCTTTACAATGCTTTTCATGGGCTAAAATCTCAAGGACATAAAACCATCGAGAACGTAAACTAACTACTGATAAATGATAAATCTGGTAATCTTGGTTTCTATCTCATCTGCAAGTGGTTGCGTGACACACACGATTATACACAATTATAGGTACCTATTAACCATTTGCAGCGATCATGTAAATAGGTAATTACTACTCACAATTACTGTGGGGTCTAATGACTTCTTAGGATTCGTTTTCACTTTAACACAAGTGTCACGAACCTACAAGTCTATGACAAGTTGTGAATGCTTAGCTTATTGAATGTATTTTTTTATTTTGAACGTTAATGCCAAGAACAAACGAATCTAAACAATATTAATTACCTAAGATAAGTTACTAGTCTAGCACTTGATATTTGAAGATTACAAAAGCGACATAAAAATTCTAATATTTTTGTAGTGAAGTTAAACTTTAATCTTCGCTCGGTAGATTTTATTGGCAGCGCAGGGTGGCTACCGAGGTTGATAAACACTGAATCCATGCTAATAGTATCAATGCGAAAATGTGTCTGTCTATCTTTCTGTCTGTTTGAAACCTCTTTACGTTTAAGCACGCGAGTGGAGCCGCTAGCAAATACTACTATTAAATAAACAAACGTTTACTGTAATGCACCAAAAATTAATGGAGCTGGCGTAGTAGTCAGGTCCTTATTAATTTTAAAACAAACTATCATAGTGTAAACTTGTAAAGCATATGTGATGTTTCGTGACTGAGGATATCTTTTTTGGAGCCAGTCTTGGATTCAAAATCCGATTACTATAAAAATGCGTTGTCTTTAATATATTGGAACTGAACCAACATATGAAACTGCAGCGTTGTATGATGCGAGTAAGTGATATCATACAGATTAGAAGTCAACGGGTTCTAATTTATAATGATATATTTTCACCATATTACCTACCGTGTTAGGAAAAGAAGTGATAACTAACGGTTAGTAACAAAGTTGATTTAGAACCATCGGATTAAAAACAACGCACCTGCAAATATAATGTAACCTTTATTTTTGCCTGGCCTACTGTTTTGAATGAGATACTTTTTTAATTGACTTAGAGCTCTTATTGTATGTACCTAAAAATAACCAAAAACAATTATTGTACACAAGAAAAAGTTAAACAATTAAAATAATAATACAACGGAGACATTAAAAAAATCGGCCAAGTGCGTGTCGGGCCACGCGTAGTGTAGGGTTACGTAGTCGCGTGTCACTACATGTGAACTTAGAAGGGGGTTCTATATTTTCACAGCTTAACGTCCAGTGACTCTTAAAACGGACTTATGAGATGAAAAATAAAACAACTGAACAGTAACATCTACTTACGCCTCAAAAACTAAGAAACAAATTTTCATTTTGGGAGTCTATTACTCCTGATATAACAGAGATAACTTAGCGGTTATAGTTTTCTTTCTAAGTGTCTTATATATATATATATAAGACACTATATATTTATATATATATATATATATATATATATATATTTATATATCTTATAAATTGTGCAGTGAGCAGGAAAATTATAATGATTAATGATGATGAACATGTGTGATAACGTAATTTTATTTTCCTATTTTTCTTATCACGTTACTTTGAATTATCAACTTAAAATATTTTCTAAAGCACCGTTGTAAGAACATATCTCTGTATAAATATACGAGTACATAAATTTGTTTTATGTTATAGTATAACATTTATACTTGGAGTTTATTAATGCTATGCTAAGTATTCATGCAATTAAGTGTCCTCTAATGGATTTCTTGCATATTTTGTTGTGGTTTGACGGAAATCTTTTTACGACTTGTACTGATGTCTCAAAGATGTGTTTTGTGCTGCATTAGACTGATATATTCATCATTCAAATTGCTGTAGGTCATTATAAAATAGAGAATAGTTATCGGTGAGAAGACATTTTTATCTTGAACGGAATATATAACATATTCATGTTTAAAATTAAAACCAAATCATAATAATCATGTCAAGTCCTATTTATATAGGGGAAGGTTGCGATGATTGGACCAAATAACTTTAAGGTATTATATCTAATTAAATAAATTCGATAGAATAAAACTTGTGATTATTTTTTATTCCTTTCTAAATATAGATACGTTGCTATACTTATTTTGGGTCAAAGTTGATCGGCTTTAGCAATATAGTAAAAAAAGTATTGTTAGATCCGTTTCTATCTGTGGACCACCGTTGCATTAAATGGACCGCCCCGTTACCATCAAAGGCAACATTTGTACTAAAGGTCCAATTATGGCAATTTAATTAAAATACTGAATTTTAATCTCCTTTTTATTAATGGTTACAATTAGAAACACTTAAATATCATTCAGCGTTACATTTTATAACTTTTTAACATAACAGAAATTAACTGTTTTGTAAATCGGTATTAACAACATCGGTACATTGGTAATAACAACAATAAGGGTTAAATCAGCTTATCAGCTGTAGCAGTAGGTCCATTATGGTATTTCAGGTGACATTTTAAATAAGGGATCGATTTTAACTTGAAATTCCATTGATTAGTTATAATTAACGGAAGATTTACCATTTTTATTTTCGCAGTTATTAAGTTCATCCATGATAATGGTGCTTGCAACAGTGCCGAAATGTGGACAATTCCCAAAAATAAACATAGCAAATATTCCGTTTATAATAACTTATCAAGTTTTGGTTATTTTTCGGTGGCTATGAACCCATAGACAGCAAACATCTTATTCTGTTTAACTTTCTGATCCTATAATTTGAATATCTTTCACAGCTTTCTTGTTTTTTCTATCCAATCTGAGGTCCAATGCTGCTTTTAGAACACCACGAATTCAATTTAATCTCACTGATTTTTCAGACAGCCTCTATGGCATGTTTCAAACTCTCAATTTTTTTTCTGACGTTCTCCTGAAAAGAAATTAAACAACCAGTTATATATTAGTTTCTTTGATTGGATCAGTCCATTCATAGCTTCACTATGGTGGACTAATGATAGCGGCTACTGAATTAAAATTATTGTTTCCTTTAAAAAAAGGGAATGAAATTGGAAGAATTCTTAAAAACGTAATAAAATTTAGATAAATGTCCTATTTTTTTTTATTATCATTTAATATACAAACGTATTACAATACTTACATCAGTTTTTTTCGTTGCACGATTTTTATATCGCCGTCCTCTCAGACACATTTTGTCACACTGCTCCGCAACCCGTGGCACCCTAATACTGAGGTTTAAAGGACAATCACCAGGCCCGACACTGTTGCCTAGCAACCCATTAGACACGTTCTAACAAGCCTATTTAAAAAATTACTTAGGTGGTGCAATGACCCACGGGCTTCGGAGGAAGCCGCCTGAGGGATCTAGCCTCACGGTAGGAGGTACTCGCATCGGCATCGAGCCCTCGATCAGGTATCTGGGGCTCGTACTCGATGGCCGATGGGACTTCGGATATCATTTCCGAGGTCTGGTCCCCAAGTTGGTTGGGGCGGCGCATGCGTTGGCGCGGCAGCTGCCCAACATGAAGGGACCCGATGACTCCGGCAGGAGACTCTACTCGGGGGTTGTGCGGTCCATGGCCCTTTACGGGTGCCCAGTATGGGCAGGGGCCCTGAAGGCCAGCAACGTAGCGATACTGCGACGACCGCAGCGAGTGCTTGCCATCAGGATCATAAGGGGGTACCGCACGATCTCCTTTGAGGCGGCGAGTCTCCTGGCCGGAACTCCACCGTGGGACCTGGAGGCGAGAGCCCTTGCGGCTCTGTATCAGTGGCGCAAGGAGGCGCGGGAGTTGGGTCGATGCCCCGAGATTCGAGAAATCGATGACCGGAAATCCCAACTCCGCCAGGTCATCATAGGGGAGTGGAGGGAGCGACTCGGGTAACCGAGCGCCGGGCACGCCGTAATCGCGGCGGTAAGACCCGTTATGGAGGATTGGCTCGAGAGGCGTCACGGGACCCTCTCATACCGATTGACGCAGGTGATCACTGGGAAGGGATGTTTCGGGGATCACCTGTGTCTGATCTGCAAGGAGCCAACGCCTGAGTGCCACCACTGACCGTGGACACGGCTCTCCACACGCTGGCAGAGTGCCCGGCGTGGGTTGAGCAGAGGCGAGACCTCGTGGCGGCCATCGGAGTGGGAGTTCTCTCGCTCGATAGCCTGATTGCGGCTATCGTGCGGAGCGAGAATGCGTGGAACTCTGCCGTCCCCTTCTGCGAGCAAGTTATGCTCGCGAAGGACACCGGGACCGGGAGAGGTTTAGAACTCTCCCGGCCCGCCAGGCCCGGGAACGGGCTAGGTACCGCAGGCGACTCAGGCGCCGGAGGTCGCAGAACGACCTCCGTCCTCCATAAGCGCAGGCCTGGGGGTGACAGATGAGGCCATCTGTCACCCTAGCAGAAGCAGGCCGGGGTGGCAGCGAGCGCGTTGCGAAGCGCGCTCGCTTCCAGGGAGCACAGGGAACATGGGGTTCCCACACGGGGGGGGGTCGTCTACTCGTCTGTAGATGACCCGAGGTATGTCGGGGCACCAGGGACTTCCTTTCTATTGTATACCTGGTTCCCCGGCTATTAATACCCGAGACGGCGTGCGGTTTTAGTCGGTTCGAGTCCGACATGCCACCGACAGGTGGTATCCGAAGGGATTTCCGCACGGAAAAAAAAAAAAAAAAAAAAAAGGTGGTGCAATGAAAATGGCGATCCACTGATCGCAACCTATGCCGAGATTGGGCCAACAATCAAACTCAAATTAAATGCACACCTTTACGAAAATATTAATTGGAAATTCTTAGTAAATCCTCGTTTTATTTACACCGGAACTAAATTCTTAATATCTTAATAAATAAAGACGGATTAGGTACATTATTTATTGGACCGACTCTTATGATAATTGATTTTTTAGATTCGTTTTCGCCCCGAATAATAGAATAACTTCGAAGACTCAAATTCATAGGAAAATTTTCTAAGGAACCGTTTGATATTTTTTGGATAGCCTAATTGCGGGTTGATCGTGAGTTGACTAATTCCATGTATAGTTTGAAAAAATTGTCCACAAAAGTAAATCATACTTATTTAACTAAACATTACTAAATATCAAATAAGTAGATAGGTATATGTATGTATGAACTAAAATCGTTCCAATTCGCAAAACAGTTTGCAACAAGTGCCTACCTGCTTACTAAATAGAAATCAGAAATGGCTCGCATTGCGTTTAACTATAGCAATTTCTCATTGGTTCAAAACCATAAAGGTAGACCGCATGTCTATCGCGGGAAATTGTGACACATTACGGTATAACTACTTTCGACAGAATTTCTACTACACTTTCAAAACGTAAGTAAGTACTTTAAATTCAAAACTGATGTTAAAGGTTGAGAATATCACGCTATGATGTACTATATAAATATAACACAATTAGATGTTACATAAACTATATTATGCCATCAAATTGAATAGATACACAACTATATTTAGTATGTTTATTGTGAAAAAGTATTTTCCTTATCTCGTAATTATAGAGGGTAGAGGCAAGGAGAACCATTTCATATGGTGGGAAATTGAAAGTGTCCATCTGTATACTGAAAGTAGAGGTCGCAAAAATTACGATATGAACATGGCTGTTGTAGACAAAGTGAATTTTGACGAGTTAAAATATTATAATACCTTTATTGTCTGAAAGTTATTACACGTTTATTTACGAGTATTGTACACGTTGTCTAATTATTATTTAAGCCAATATAAATATTTTACAATGTTTTTCTTTCAATGATTATTTTTCTATCCTACTCTAACAACTTTTTGTGCTTTCTTTAAATAAATATAATAATGCTACTATAGCGACCCCAATTAGACCCCATTTTGACGGACACTTTTCATACACAGAGATGGTTCTCCTAGCCCCTACCCTCCATACTCGTAACATGAATTACGTCAAAAATTGAATAGCCGTACTATAAAATTTAGGGTATTTCTCTTCTTTACCTTTCTAAGACTTTTTACGTAGGTTAAGAGTTTCCTTCTCCGCTCCTTGTTTAAAATTTCAAAACAAAAATATATATTTAAAATTGTTGTCCTTGTTTAAAATTGTTGTCCTTGTTTAAAATTTCAAACCAAAAAAATTAAATAAGTTTCTTTTTATTGAACTCTTTAAGCGATCTAAAGTAACTTTTTTTGTTAATTTGGTTATGAATGATCAATAAGTGTCAAGAAATTTACCTAATTAAGGGTAAATAAAACATTCACGTTCACTCCGATCTACAAATTGCAACTCCCTTTTTTTTTTTTTTTTTTTTTTTTTTTTTTTTTTTCCGTGCGGAAATCCCCTCGGATACCACCTGTCGGTGGCATGTCGGACACGAACCGACTAAAACCGCACGCCTTCGCCGGGTACTAATTGCCGGGGAACCAGGTATACCCTAGAAAGGAAGGCCCTGGTGCCCCGACATACCTCGGGTCATCTACAGACGAGTAGACGACCCCCGCCCCGTGTGGGAACCCCATGTTCCCTGTGCTCCCTGGAAGCGAGCGCGCTTCGCAACGCGCTCGCCGCCACCCCGGCCTGCTTCTGCTAGGGTGACAGATGGCCTCACCTGTCACCCCCAGGCCTGCGCTTATGGAGGACGGAGGTCGTTCTGCGACCTCCGGCGCCTGAGTCGCCTGCGCTGCCTGGCCCGTGCCCGGGCCTGGCGGGCCGGGAGAGTTCTAAACCTCTCCCGGTCCCGCTCCGCCGTCTCCTTCGCGAGCATAACTTGCTCGCAGAAGGAGACGGCAGAGTTCCACGCACTCTCGCTCCGCACGATAGCCGCAATCAGGCTATCGAGCGAGAGAACTCCCACTCCGATGGCCGCCACGAGGTCTCGCCTCTGCTCAACCCACGCCGGGCACTCTGCCAGCGTGTGGAGAGCCGTGTCCACGGTCTGGCCATCGCAGTGGTGGCACTCAGGCGTTGGCTCCTTGCGGATCAGACACAGGTGATCTCCGAAACATCCCTTCCCAGTGATCACCTGCGTCAATCGGTATGAGAGGGTCCCGTGACGCCTCTCGAGCCAATCCTCCATAACGGGTCTTACCGCCGCAATGACGGCGTGCCCAAAATTGCAACTCCCTAACTCATTCCTATTCTCCTTTTCCATCCAGTGGTTGCCTGGAAGTGATCGCAAATCGCGATAAGTCCGCCAATTGTACAACTTTTAATATTTTACTCTCTATGTTTCATTTATATAATTTTAGATTAAAAGACACACACCAATACATACAAACTGTATTTTAATTGTTTTTATTGTACAATAAAGAGTTATCTATCTATCTATCTAAAACAATGCATGCTGAAGAAATGTCTAAAAAGGCATAAAAACACATCAGTCAACTAAAGTACTTACTCGTACCTAGTCTTCTTAATAATACTAAGATCCTGAGAACGTTAATAGGTATGAGGAGGCCTACTAGTCATCACCACTGGTAAATACCTAAGTGCTGGCTTCGACTTATTGGGACTGCCTTCATACAGAAGTCATATACAGAACATATTTCTACATAGATATTACTAAAAAATGACTTTATTGGTGAGTTTGACATGATGTCATCATTATGACATAGTGCTGACAAAATTTGATATGACGTCATAATTGTTAAAATTACGTAAATTACGACTTAAAATTACGTAAATATTATGATAGGGATAGGACATAATATTTAATAATAAGATTCGAAAAAGGAAGTACCTAAAGACACACGTCTTTAGATATTTGACTATTATCTATATGACTCATATATGACATATAACTCACGTAAATCATGACGTGGCATGACGTCATACTAACATCAGTTACTGACATATTTGTATTCACTATACCTTTACTACTATACTTTTTTAATCAAAGGTTTCATCATGGCTATGATGTATTTTTAAAGCATTTGTAAAAAAAATTAGATTTATGCACTTTTTCTCCATAAAAAGTTTAACTGTGTAAAATTTCACTTTCAACCGTTCACGCAATCTTTTTAAAAAGGTATATATATATATATATAGTATATATAGGTATAGATATAGTATATGAAATAGACACGATTTTGATATTTTTTTAATAAAACGAGAATGTGTCGCGCATATTAAAATAGTCAATGTGTAGTTCTAGACGATGACCGAAGACGCGGACTGACTCTGTGTTTGTGTGCATCGACATCACACACAGATTGATCCTGTGTCACAGAAATGCAGTCTTTGTATTGCTGACGGAGTTCAGAACGTACTGTTTCTACTTTAAGTATTACAAGTTTCTGTATAATAATAATAATATTTCGGACATCTGATCAAAGATTCAATAATATACACTCAATCGACTTAATGTCCACAGCTAAATTGCGCTCTAACATTCTCAATTTAATCTGGAAAAAAATCTCTATAAAATCTGGACATTGATTTTTTACTTGGGTATATTGTGTTGCTCTTAACTATCTATATAAATTATTGCAGAGTCCTGTTTGGATAATAATATTTGTCCTAATATTTGTCTGGATAATAATACCCGTTTGGAAAGATTAATAATGAAAGTAGATATTACTGTTGATTGCAACTTGAAGCGCTAGGCTACTAGTCAAACAAGTTATAATTGTATCTACTAAGTTTGTGAGCGTAAAACCTATAAAGTCTGAGTTAATGTGTCTTTATCTTTATGTTTTAGCTTTACATGTCGCTACACGCATACTCACAAGCATGGCTGGTGCCGAGTTCACATTCACGTGAGGAATTCGCTGATGACGGTATTCTCACCGAGATGGGTAAATTGGCCACCTCTGCACTCGCTGACTTATATGGCACGAAATACCAGGTACTTATTTAAAGAAGTGTTTTTCATGAAAACGATTTTTATTTTATTTAATACGAGTACAATAATAATAATATACGCAATCACAATCGTACTACCGTCCATAAACTATAATGGCGTTATCTGACAAATGCACATTTTGAGATATGAGCCAAAAACTAAAAATAAAATTGAAAATCATGCCACTTAATGTCTATTTCACTTATTAGAGATATTTTGATATGGCAAGATAGGTATTTTGAAACACTATCATATGATAGTATAGTCGAATTAATTAACTTTATAAATTAATCCTAAAATTAAATTTTGGCACTATAGTAAGCTTATTGTCTTGTATGGGTTCGTAACTATTACATACTTTTTTTAACTGTAAATTAATCGATCATTACATAACTAAAATGCCGTTATAGCACATAATCACATTATAGCTTGGGATTGTTGTAATATTTATTGCGATTTAGTCACGCTAAAAAACGGTTATGCTACGTTTGCCACGTTTAAGACTAATATTATAAGTATTATAAATTAATATTGGTTTTTTGATTGAAATCAAATATAGAATACATGTCTAAAATGCGGTTAAATACAAAACCTCGACTGGTAACTGCGTTATAGTAAAGTATTTACGATGTAAAGTTTTAGGGAATTCTATTAATAGTATGTTTACAGATAAGTTAAAATAAAGTAAATACTATAAATAATAAAAATAAAGTTTGAATAGAAGGTACAGTATGTAATCCTTAATAAAATAACCTTATTGTAGTACTTACTTCTTACAAACAATATTGTATAAATATATTTAGGGAAAATGAGATCACATGAACTTATGCACTACTTTGACAAAACAACTATTTTGACTGAAATACAATTAAGTACTACGCGTAAGTATGTCAATCGTTAGGCACAATATAGCTTTAATAAATATAAAGTAATAATAATTATTTTTAGGCACAGCTTTCTTTCAAATCAGTCAAATATTTTTTCTGTACTTTAAACAGTCTTCTAAATTGTTATTAAGACATTAAAAATAAAATATATTTTAAAAAATTTATTAAATAAAAAATAGTACAACATAAAGTTCTAAAAATTACTATCTCTAATTATCATAGCTAAAGTTTTTAAATTGGCAGTTTACATATTTTTATCCGACTTACTTAAGTTGTGCCAGAATATAAGCTTATGTAGAGGAATAATATTCTATACCTTTAGGTGAACTGCGGAATGTAATAGTTAAAATATTTAGATATTTGTAAATCTAAAAATTTTATTTTTTACACTTTGCTTACTTACGTACTTTAGTTGGTATTGTTTAAATTCGGTTCAACTTTTTTCAAAAGGATACATTTTTAATAAAAGATACTTGACGTATAATTTTGAGATATGCTCTTGATTTTTGAATGCGACTATGAGATATATAATTATGAACATTAATAAAGTTTAGGCAATAATGATTTCGTAATCAACTTAGATTTATTGATGGAGCTTGCCGCTTCTCGAAAATCGTATAATTTGCTTTTTTTGCATCGATAACTCGACTTGGTGATGAACCTGGTCATAGCTCATAGAGGCTCAAAATAAATAGTTTTTGTTCTGAGAGCTGCAATTATCTGACCAAATGTAAATTCCCTTAACATCTCGGTTAGCCAATAAGAAAAAATAAAATACGCTCATAATATGCTCCTGCTTTCGTCCTGAATAGGAATCGTGCCAATTAACAGCCAAAGCTTTGCATTCGTTGGTTATTTTACCTACTGGTGTAGGTAAATATTTGATTAAATGCAATGAACCGCTGACAGAAAATTACCGATTTAAAGGAATCTATCCTGGGTAATATAATTACCTTTTCTAGGTCCGAACTGAAAGATATCAGCGATCCATTTCGAGGTATATTCTTCTGCAGTTCATACAACCCCCTTGCTTTCCTATATTTCACATGGTGCTTAGCACACTCTACACAAATAGTACAGTGTTCAGTAGTTTGATTATTGGCATCATGATCGTGGTGATTATTGGCATCATCATTGAGGTTGCTTTTCATGCAAGTTATACGTCTCACAAGCCTCACATTCTTCATGTCAGTAGAGTAGAGCAATCATCATGTTTTTTTAATGTAAAAACTATTTTTGGGTTCGGTGGTATACTTCCTTTTAGGAACTGCTCTTACCAAAAGTCATGTTCCAATACTTTTCATTAATGTGTTCTCACTCTTCTTGGTGCAATTTATAAATTGCATTTCTTGAGGCATTGGTCACTGCATCCCATGTTAACAGTGTGTTCAATTCGTCTTTTATTTTTAGCATCTACTTTCGCTGACTTAAAAAAGTGGCATATCTTTTACGTTTTGATGACGATTGCGCTGTTACAGGCTGCAATATATTTGTTTCTAGTTCATGTTCTGTAAAATGTATTTCATTTGTACTAAATCTCCACTGCGTAGATTGTGTCAATGGTATTCCTTCGTCAACTGTTGTCGATGGAGCTTTCTTAGACTCTTAGACTTCTTAGACTCAATGAGCTTCTCCGAAATGCAAGGAAGAGTGTTAGTAAAATTTGGAATATTTTTAGTCGTAACTTGAGTAGATGTAACAGAACGAGAGCTTTTTTTCTTTGAATTTGCTTTCTTTTGTAAGGCTGTTGATTGTCTTTGGTAAATACATGAATATTATATTCTCCAGAGTCGCCACTTGACGCAGACGGATAATAATTTTTATCACGCGCAGAATCGTCAGAATCAAAATCAATTGGTGAATCTACATCGGAAAAAGTTCTTCTAACTGTTTTGTGTAAATTATGTGCCTGGTGTGAGATGTACTTAATTTATGTTTCGCAAAATGTTAACTTAAATAAAAATTACAAGGAAATAAAAACTAAGGACTCATAGCCGCTTTTTAGGTTACGAAATATAGTTAACTGTGTTTTTGAGTGGTACACTTATGAAAAAAACATAATATAACGGCATTTTAACTATCTTTACCTCGAGAATAAAAATAAACCGTAAATACAGATCGATAGAGCGTTTTTTCTGATCAAGGTGGACTTAAAAACTAAAATCGACCTGATGTGGGTTAACGGCATTATAGTCTATGCACGGCAGCGTAGTCCTAAACCTAGTCTTAGTCATAATCGTAATTGTAGTCTTAGTCATGGTCGCAGTCGCAGACACAATCGCAATCACTGACGCAGTCCCAGACGCTCTTTAAATCGCAGTAACTAACTAAAATCAAAAACCATTTTTTTACCTATATTATTTATATATTCCAGGTTGGCACTGCTAGTGAAATCCGCCAACCAGCATCTGGAATGGCCCATGATTGGGCGAAAGCAAGAGCCGGCATCAAATTTTCTTACCACGTAGACTTACGAGATTCCTTTGGCCCTTATGGTTTCTTATTACCAGGATCACAAATAGTATCGACTGCACGTGAGACCTGGCAGGCTATCAAAGCAATGGTTGATAATTTTTCACCAGGAAAATAAGCAATAGTATATTTTATTAGTAAGAATTAACTGACATTCTAAATTAGTAAGATTACTGACTGATTAGATTGCATTATAGGTATATTGTAACGGAAAATCAAACCGAAAATAAAAATAAAATATAGTTACTACTATTTTATGTAAGTATATTAAAAAAATTGTGTGTCGTTGTATTTTAATTAATGTGTATAAAAAAATTCAACGATTTTATCTGTGAATGAAGTGTATTGTGTTTTATTACAAAACTCAGTGAAGTTGAAGTTCATGAAAATAATAATTGTATTCGTGTGATGGTCAGAATTTATAATTGTGCATTTATTTGGATACGTAAAGTAGACCGCTTTTGCATAGTGATAGATTATAGTATTTATTTCTCAGTCAATGAAACAATTAACAAATGTTCTAGCTTGTTTATTTAGAATTGTACCCTAAGTGTACAAATGAACGAGTTAACGTAGCATTCCACTACATTTGTGTCCTACACCTACATTTTGTAATAATTGTGGTGAATGATAATTTTAGTAGGTAGAAAATATTAAATGAATTACAGACGTTTAAACTATAAGTGTTCTTTCTTTCATCACCTTCCCTTTCGTCTAAGTCGACATGTTACATGGTAATGTAGAGATCCAGCTATTTTTAAAATACCTAACGACTTTTTTATTGTTATGAAAACTTGTCGAATTCGAATTTGCTATTCATTTCAAAATTCGATCTAATTTTTGACTGCATCTTTTCCAAATTATGCGTACATGATAATAAAACAGGAGCATTTAATATTAATATAGCAGACGGGTAAACTGATTTTAAATTTACAGCCTGCGGGGTTTACTTTGGACTTGCTTAAAAATAAAATAAGTATTAATTAACCTTTTGCCTGACGATGTTTACAATAAAATGTGTTAGATTTCATAAAGCAGAAAATATCAAAATCAAGGCAATTAAAAGGAGATTACGAATATATATATAAAACTTATATATTTAAATTTCATCAGGAATAATAAATTGGTTTAAAAAATTTACTTAACGTAAAAATCGGCCATGTTTGTGTTGGACCTCGTGCTGTTTCGGTCTTTTAATTGTGTTACTTTTAACTTGTCCCTCCCCGATGACTGCAGTGAGGACCCGACGCTGCGACGCGTGGTGACTGCGGCGAGTGGTGTGATGACTAGTGCCTAGGACCACAAAGTACATTGTACATCTGAGCCTAGGACCATAGAACAGAGAATTAGGATCTAAAGAATTATTGTTTAGCTTTTAGTAGGTACATCATAATTATCCTTATTTTCAATAAAAAAAACTTAAAAAATCTTCTTTACCGGAGGGTTCCGGCGATTGGGACCGCAATTAACTAGGACCGAAGTCCCAGTTGCCGGATCATTTAATTTGTACTCGTATATTTTTCTTCTTCTTATAAACCAATTATATGTTTGAATCAAAGAATTTTTTCCTTAAATTATTACTTTTAAAATTTTTTCCTTTGACTGTACTCTTTTTGGCTTGAACAACAGATTTTGTATTCAGTTATGGCGTCTCATAAATCGCAAGTGTAATTTATAGAACATATTATGTTCTATAAAATACACGTGCGATTTTTAATAAATTAACCAAAATCACTTTAAACGTTACATACAGTATAACAGTCAGGGTTCACACCCACGGTATTATATATAAACAAGAGGTAGATCCGCCACCAACGCACAAAACACGAGGGTCCTAAGTAGGACCACTATGAGCGAGCGCGCGTTACTAATTAATTCGAGAAAATTCATAAAATACCTTCCTGTGCATTCCGAAAGTGCACAAATTACGACAAAAAGGCAAATAAAGATGAAGGAATATGATACCACAGGTAGGTAAGTGTTTATTTTCTTCTAAAATGCATTAATAGATCTAAGTATGGTTACGGAATGGTACAGGATACAGAATCTACAAAATTTAAAGAAAATTAACATCTATCCCTCGCTATAGTACCTACAGCAAGAATGGTAATACATCCGGTACTAATCTCGGCCGCTTGATGTCAATGAATTGGTTAAGGAGCACAATTCTCGATAATAATGGTATTGACATTCGCGCTCACTGGCTTAATTTCGTAAACAACAGCTATCGAACTCTACACAATAGGCTATATAATTATGCTGTAAATGTATAAATGTTCCATATAAACATTTTTATGATAATTTTCCAATTATTGTTATTATTATTTTAATACTAATAAAAAATATTTAATACTAATAAAAATAATGAATGAAAGCTAACAAATACCTATCAACTGATAGGTATTTGTTATTTTTTATTTGATTGAATGTAAAACATAAGCCTGTAATCCAAAGAAAACTAAATTCTGTACAGTTTCATGTACGAATATTTTTTGATATTTAAAAAAAAACATAAGCCTAAAAATAATCTTTTAAATAAATTACAAAAAGTTAAGACTTGGGTGTGAAAACACTTTGGCATTAGTAACGAAATTATTGAGCATTAACACATATATGCCCAGAACTTTTTTTCTTCGATTTCATTCATTTTTTGATATGCGGATACCTGAAGGGTTCCAATGAAGGCTGGAAGTGAAAATTTGAGGTGGCAGTGAGATAAAGGTGTTTTTTTTTAATGGGTCGAAAACGAACCCCTGGTCAAATGTGTTACTTAAAATATATGGTGAATAAAAATACCAATATTTTATTAAATACTTAATTTCCGACATAATTCGAGATCAAACTTAAGACTGAAACTGCGAAAAACATTTTGCATGTAAATTAACACCATATTTACTGCACGCCGTTACGGTTTTATTTTCGAACAAAGCACAGCGAAGTCTCGACAGAGCCTTTCCTATCATATGCTCTGCATTGTGCTTCCGCACTGTATAAGGCACGCTAGTTCGGACCTTTCGAATGAGTCCAGGATGAACCTCTTCGGTGCCGTGATTCTGCAATAAAGTGCGGGCAATGCTCCGTCGAAACTTCAATGTGTCGATGTCGCCTCGGTATTGGCAAGCTAGAAGTGTAGCATTATTCACCGCAACGTCAATGAGCCAAAACAGAATAGGCGTAAACCATTTCTTGCCTCTCATGGAGATTCTATACACGCCCACGTTGGCATCCAATCGGTCCACACCCCCCATGTATCGATTATATTATTATTCTGAAATAAGATGAGGTTGTGGTACATCTATCCTTGATTTTAGCGCAGCTGAATATCTTCTTGCCGTTTGGATGGTTTGTACTCCGTGTTCAATCGATAAGAGAGTCACAACGCTATTATCGTGCCATCTAACAACACATATCCCGTTTGTTTCGTCCAATTGATAGTCATAGCATCTTTCTTCTTTTTGGCATTCTTTTGCGTCTTTCAGTGGGCAGTTTTCAATACGGTTACTACGTACTGTACCCGTCAAAAACACATGTTTCTCTTTGAGATCACTGGCCAATGGCAGTCCAGTAAAAAAATTGTCGCAATACACAGAGAAATCTGTATTAGGAAATTCCTCCTGTACTTTAGTTATCAGTTTATTGATAACATGACGTCCTAATCTTGTTTCTGCACGTTCAGCCCACCCTTGATTGGGATCGGCATATAGGCAGTAGCCCAATCTCGTGGCATCAATCCGCATTTGAACCCTAACCTTATTGGCTTCCCTTTGATGTGCTGTTTGCAACCATGCCTGTCGTAATACGGAACCATGGATTCATCGATGCTTATTTGCTTTTCGATAGGAGTATACTGTAGAAATTTAGCATTTAGCATATCAATCAGCGGGCGTACTTTTGCCATCTTATCATTTTCAGGCAGTGCAATATTATCGGCCACATGGAAATAACGCGATATCTCTTCAAATCGATTGCGGCGCATACTTTTTACGACAAGAATGTTACGGGTATCTTCAATGCTCTCCCAGTACATGCGGCATCGCGGCAACGGAGCATAACCAGACAAAATAAGGATACCAATAAAGCAGTATACTTCTTGGTACGACAAAGAGAAATTCATATTTCCCGACTGCATAGCATATATAACTGTTTGTCTGACTATGTGAACAATTACTTCACGATTGCAAAAGAGTTCAAAAAATACAATAGGGTCACTATGTGCAGACAATGTAGAAATAGATAAGCCTTGCAGGTGCGAGTAGACGGGACGTCGGCGGGATAAATGATGGAAAAATATATCTTCGTCATCTCCGGAATCACTGTCAGATACCCTGCCATCACCAGGAGGGTCAATAAATATATCAGCACCCTACTGGGTGCTGATATATTTATTGACCTGTTGTTGAAAAATGTGGCCTCCGACAATGAGATACTATCTCATTGTCAGAGGCCAAATTTTTCAACACCTCAATTATATCGTAAACCTAAAAATAAAATTGCCATTAAATACACTTCTACCCAAGGGGTCGTTAGCGACCCACACATATTTCGACAACTATATCTGTGGCTAAAGTAAGTATTTCATAAAACTTTCACTGTTATGGGACAGAAAAATTATCTAATTTTATGATAGAAACGATATACTAAGTTTATTAAAGCAGAAAAAAATATTACTTGCATTATTTTTAGCGGAACCGGCATTTTTTGCCACCAAAAATCAAGTCATGGTAAGAACTGTCACTTGTGGCACATATTTACCCGCCAAATCAAAATTATGTCATTTGTTTTTATAGATAGTACTTTGATTAATCGATAGATGGCATTAGAAGTCACAAATAAGCGTTTAGCTACACAAAATCCCTCGTATTCCATAACCTATTTTACAGGACAAAAACGACCCACTTGGCATATATGGGTTAATATTTTAAATTGCAGATGTCCAGTGTTCCAGGACACTAAGTCAAGTTTTTGGTAAAATATTATGTTAGGTTTGGCATCAGCATCAAGCATCAATGTCATTTTACTGTCAAAATGACGTTAAGTTTTCCTGGCAGTCGTAGTTTTGAATTGAGGATTTTGTGATTATTTGCATTAAAATGAATACTACAGTTAATAGAACGTTGTCAAGCACTAAAATAGATCCAACTGAGTTCGATGTAACAATTAATGCTATACTGATCGGTCTAGGAGCTGAAAAATATATAGATATATTCAAGTAAGAGCAGTGAAATTAGAGATATTTAAAATCATTATTTGGAGTGTTCTTTCTAGAGTCCCTTTCTATTATATTGATCATTCAAACTACATCTTAGAGCATATAAAAGCGGCTTCATTCATTGAATGAGCCTACATTTGTTTTCTGTGCTCTTTTCTTTTGAAAAGTGCTACGTTCTTTACTCTGTACCTTTACCCAGGGCATAAACACTCTCTTGCCTTCGACGAATAACTCAAACGTTTAGAACTCTGTGATCCCATAATGTTAATTTAAATGTATACCTTAATTTTTTAATTATATTTCTAGGAAGCGAAATATAGGTCAGAAAACTTTAGCTGAGTTATGTGATGAAGATCTTGTTAAATTGGGTATTGATGATGCTGAAGTTAGACTGAAGATCTTAAACGAAGTAAAAAATTTGCCCATTTATGAGGAATCTAAGCAAATGTAAGGTTGTTTCTATTTTAATTTTCCAATTGTATATTCATCTGAAATAAATCCTACATAGCAGTTATGTAAAGTTAATGGTACAAAAAATATATGACAATTCTACTTTATTCAATTTGCTTACAGATCTAAGTCGAATGTGGGTCCATTAGAAATTATGGACATTCTCAATGATAGTTCAAACCATCTGTATAGAATATATTTAAGCATCATTGCAAACACTCTAGCCCTAAAGAAAACAAAAAAATTAACAGACTGTTTATTGTATAGAGACAAATATGCATCTAATATAGCTTTGAGTACATTAAATGAAATAACTAATATACTAAATTCTATGGACATTGCAATAAACACACAGTTGAAGGTATGTATTTTAAGTTACAACTGTTATAAGCACTTATATGTATGCATATATAGCACTGAATAAGTAGACATATCCTATGTACTGCCAGTAAATCAGATTTTGGTATTTGTAACTTTTAAAAAGCCCAAATTGTTGATACTTGTGAATTAAAGTATCATTATAGATAATATACATATTGAAAATTAACATAAAGAGAAACAAGATAAAATAAAGATTGATCTTGTTATTCTTTTCAACATTGATTGGGAAATGTGTGCACGTTAATAAACATACAATTGTTGATGATTGATAATGTTTTAAAAATCAACTTCACCTCAATTACATATTTTCAGGAACTCAAACAGGACTCTAGAAACACCAAGAAGAAGAAAATAATAGTAGGAACTGTTGGTAGTGCAGTCATAGCCGTTTTAGCCGTGTTATTTGTGCATTCTTTGAAGCAAATTAAATAATTGTCCATAACTTATCGCCACATGCAGCTACTTATATATTAAGTATGTCTAGTTTTGGTGTAAGTCTTTCCATGTGCTCTCTACTATGAACATGAATCATTACTGTTATTTGTACTAAAGACTGTTGATTATTAAATAATATGTTAAAATACTTTTTCTGGTAGTTTCATTATAATAGTCATACTTATCCTTAATTACGATATTTATGTATATCTCTCGTACCATAATCATCACATCAGTTCTGCGATGACTCAATACATTCAGAATAAATAAATTGCTGTGGCAATTCATCCAATAACAACTGCTCATAAAGGCAAACAAAGGGATCACGCCGGAAATACAAACTATGAAATATAAAAACATTTCCCAGTTTATAAAACAAATAAATCCAGATGAAATGACCCAATTGTTTTGACCTCACCAATTAAAAAGTGTAAGGTAAACGAATGGCTGACAGGGCGGTCGTGACGTCATGGGCGGGGACAGGCGGAGCTCCGGAAGTGTTCGGGGACCGCGCGTAGCGGCCGGTAGCGGAGTCCCGCACTCCCTGGACCGGCGATATTGCTTATTGCGGCCGAGCGCGCCAATTGAAACGCGTGTCCGTTACGCCAAATCAGGACGTGCCTCTTCGAGTTGTGGAATTTCGGACAACGAATTTTGCAATGTGCATTCAAAATTAAACCATTTATGTGCAAAAATGAATTGTTTTAGGATTTTATCTGTGATTTTTTTATTCGTATTTAAATGTTTGTATGCTCAAGAAAACCACGAAAGAGGTGAGACTTAAATATTTATTTTAAATATGTGTAATCTACCACAGATTTTTCAATAAATATATATTTTCAATTATATACCTATAAGTCATTTTGCAATGATAGTGGACACAAATCAACATATAGTATCACGTATCTATCAGTCCGAAATACCGAATATTTGCTAATCTAAGCCGCAACTTGTGGCCAGTGATAATTATTGTAAGTATTAATTATTAATTTATTTACTTTTGAAATGGATATTCTGTGATTTTCCAAAATATGGATACCTAAGGAAAGTTTACCGTACTGTAAAAAAGTGTGGTGGCACTGTTGAAACTCATCAGAGTACCTACATTTAAAAGTGGATTTTGATTATTCACTATCTCGTAATGTTAATATTTTTTGCAGCAGTGAGTCTAGGGATGTGTTCTTTTTCAATATTTTCGCTTTTTACCCCTGCGTTGCTAACGTATTGCAGATTTCGTCCATCCATTCGACACAGGAAGTGTATTAACTTAAGAACGATAGACTTCCCCTTCAAATGTTTTTTCTATTCCTCGAGAGCATTGTTTTTTTTTCTGAATGGATATCTACAGAAAAAGACATACATACACAAGGATACCTTTTTTCTTTTGTGAAAATGTGTAAGCTAAACCTCATGCACATCCGTTAGGTAATTGTAATAGTTGCTAGTTACGATCTCAAAAGAGGTTTCTAGACTGATTATTCCAGAAAATCTTTAATTCATACTTATTTAAAACTAGATGACTGATTTTATTTTTTTATTTAGTGATAGGTACATCTAGAATGCCTACCTTAGAATATACTTCAAAAAGTATTTTGCACATTTTTCACATTGACTAAGAGCAAAAAAGCAAATATTGGAAACATATACAAAATGATGTTTAATTAGGAAAAATATGGCAGAATAAATACCTTTATAAATTATACCTAACTACTTAGCAGTATATTTAGCATTTAAACATTAGACTGTTCAAAAAATCCAAGTAAATTCTCAAATAGGTACTTTACTAGCTTTTAAAGGCGGCTCCGCCTTGGTAAGTCGGTTATCCGATAAGGTAGCTAACCATTGGTGAATGAATTTTTAAAATCGGGTTGGGGGTTTAGGCATGAAAGCGTAACAAAGTCACATTTACAATATAAGTATGTAAACTGATTATATAATAATTTTTTGTATAGGTAATGTTTAACTTGAATTAGTTTTTAGATATGCCTAGCAGTAGCTTTAAAAAAGATAGGGCACACGTAATTTCTAATTGAATCGGTGCTACTGTCCTACGGCGACTCTAATAGTATAGAGCAAAATTTTGCAAGCCGTTTGAACTGATCGCGATGAATCCTTTTTATTAAATGACCTTTTGACGGTATTGCACCGATCGTAATCAGGTTAGGTATTATTATCAATTACTCGGTTGTGCTGCCTGTTGGTGTCTGTCTGGCAAGTATGTATACCTACGTATTTTACAGGTCTCGGAGATGTGTTAACAATAACCAATTAAAAGATGAATAAAATTGCGAATGATGTTTACATCAAACTTCATGTATTGCACTTCTAAAAGCATATGGTAAACACGTCTATTTGTAAGTTTTAAAACTCTCAAAAATTATGTAACCTTAGAAATATCCAAATAAAACAAATCTCATAAGTAGGTCATCCATCTTTTATAGCCGTGACTGACATAATAGCTAAACCTATAATGTAATGATCACCTTCATAGCAACTGTAAAAATTTAGAATTAGTGTGTTTGCACGTGTTTTACTTTGTCGTGTAAAAAAAACCTTATTATCTACATGTCTAACCAAAATAAAACTAATCTCTGCATAACTATATACACCTCTAGCTGTAGAAGCTAGCATATTGTAGCTCCTAAACAGCTTTTTGACAACCTGTACAACTAGTTAGTTTTATTGGTTACGTTCACAATATAATAAGGGGCATCGAATCATGCAATGTATTGTTAGGTAAGTTTGCGTCTTTTTTCTCTAGAGGCGCTATTAGCCAAAGTTGAAAACACTCGTTCGTAAACTATTGAAACTAGAGCCATTGAAAATACTTAAGTATCTGTAATATGTCATTTAAAATTATCAAACCAAAGAAAGAGAACAGAGTAACCTACTTACTATATACAAGTTTTAATTTTGTGCAATATAACAATACGTCATTATAATGTACCTACAATATAATATTTGAACGTTATTGCATTGCTGTCTACAATGAGGTACATCTACGAGCGGGAATCGAACCCGCGACCTTTGGAATAGCAGTCCGTTACACAAACCACTACTACTAACTACACAACCTTATTTTGCAGTTATAAAATTTCTTTTTTCAACTATTACTAATTTAAGTACTATATATGTTGTTATCAAAAACAAACGTTTGAAAGTTCATCAATATAATATTGTGATGGCCGTCAGTGGAAGCTGTCTCGGGACAAAGTGCGGAGCTACCCTGCAACGTCACGGCAGAGAAAGAAGACGACAGACTCAACATCCTCGCTTGGTACAGAAATGGATCAACGACAGCGTTTTACAGGTAATAATAATCCTGAATTACCGACTGGACTACTCTTGAATCACCAGTTTCAATTGGCGGAGCATCTTTTTTGAAATCAAGTGTGAAAACTAAAACTGACCTGAATAATATAAAAATCTTTTTGCCACCATTAGGTGCAGGATGCTTAATAATACTCAGTCTAACTTTATATGCTCACAAACGTGTAGTGACGATAGATGTGTCATGACTATACAATCAGAATGTCTTTAAAATCGCTAGTCATCATCATTATCATGTGTGTATATGTTTATATATGTAGTGAACCGTATATATTTTCATTGTACATTTGATATTATGATGTAACCTCTGTGCACCTACCTTACAAGATTTCTACATCACCCAAAGGTTGACTGGAAGAGAATGCCCTGGGCACTAAGTCCGCCGATGTACAAAAGTGCATAAAGATAAATAAATAAATAAATTATCAACAATCTTTAACAGTCCACTGCTGGATACAGGCATCTCCTTAGAAAGAATCCGTCACGTATTCTTAATCCGTCACGACAAGGACCATCGCTGGTGTCTTTATAATATTAGGTTTAACCCAAGAATGTAAATGTATTTGTAAAATTGATCAAATATCCAAACGGTTATTTATCGGATATGACATAAAAAGCTACCAAACAGTTAAAACTAAACAATCTTTAGTTTTTGGCTAGTCAAACCTATACATGCATATATAGGTATAATATATAGCCTCGTATTAATACTGTGATACACTGAGCTAAATCTAGACTGAAGCTAAGTAGGTTTAGCTAGTAGTATTAAGAGGATAAAATCCTTTTCGAAACTAAATATAATTTACCACATCTAGGTTAAGGAGTGTAGCCAATTGCTCGAAAAGCCAGGATTGCTTACTTTTAACTTAAACTGTCTTTTACCCAGAATTCGAAGCTTAATTAACTTTAGTGAATAAAACATTAACACACACTTTGTATCAGCAGTCGCGACTTACGCGGCGATGATGAAACCACCACGCCTTCGGAGGGTCGCTATCGTTTAGTGACGTCGGAGAACGCGGACGAAGATAAACTACAGATACTAAGAGTGCGTCCCTCTGATGCCGGATTCTACACGTGTCTTGCTGACTTTGCCACTAGTCCTGCACATAAGACTTATGTTGAACTTATCGTTATTGGTGAGTACCTTTAATAATATTTTCAAACCTGTACTTACAGGCCTAAACAATTTAAATACATACTTGTTTTCTTAGAAGAGTAAAACTAATAAACTAGCATAAAAACAAACTCTTCAGAAGACTTCTGAAAGATTTTTGTTTTTGGTTAAGTTATTTTAAGTTCACTCTACGACCTTTAGAAATGGTGCAGTGACGAATAGTGCAATAAATAAAGGCGAATGGATAATTCTTTACAAAGCTATAAAAACTAGTAGGAAAGATGTTTTTGTGTATAATGGCATACCTTACATTCTAATAGAAACAGAAATAGGTGTCCCGTTAACTGAGCTCTTGTTTTGAACTGACCTCATTAAGTTGAATTGTATTCTCAACAACTGCATTTGATTGAATTTTTTATTTTACATCCCCAACTATAATAGGTCCCAATTCACTCATCTTTCAAATTTTATCCGCTTACTAACCTAATTCTCTAGTTCCGTTTCTTTCGCTCCAATCAACTCTCTCACGCCTCTGACTTCATCAATTCTTCTTTCTATGTCCGATCAGTTCTATATTAATAATAATAACTACGCACATTTCCCATGCGGCAGTCTGATCCCAAACTAGGCAAAGCGTGTACTATGGTAACCAGGCTGTTGATAAACATAGGTGTTTAAAATACTAATATTTTAAATACATAGATATTATAGACAAATTACCCAGGCACAGAACAAATTGTCATAGTCGTAGAATAGTGTCGGATCTGACACTTATTAAACTTTAGCAGGCAGCTATTTTAAATAATTATGTTATTTGTTGACATAACTTTTTAATTCTAAATCTGTAATTATGAAAATTGGCGAGTGAAAAATAGAGTTTGTTTGAAAATACAATAAAAATAACAACTAATAATCATACAATTTTCTAGAAAAATCACATGCTTCATTTTACTTTGAGAGCCTAATAAAAATTCAAAATCTAAAATACATATAATGTTTACTTGAATGTAGTATCCAAAAATAGTAAAAGTTGATCTTCGTATTTTTTCAAAACCGACATTATTCTGCGATCATGACGAATACGAGTATTTGTCTTGGGTGGGCATCGAACCGAGGAAAGCTGGCTTAGCAGTCAGGGTCACCAACCACTAGACCAACAGGCGCGTTAAATTAGATAACTCTCCTGGTTGAAATGGGGATGTACACAAACTGTATTATATTTAAGAAGAAAGAAGTAACGTGTTTTGCACTACAATGTTTGAGCAGAACGTTTTGCGGAATCTGTATGTTGATACTCATGTATACATACCTATGTATACGTATCAATCTATTTATGTCAGTAATTATTTGAAATATATAATATTAAATGTTTTAAGCATGTTATCTTTGCACTTACCCGTATAATACTTCTACAACGACCCCGGCTTAATTGGTAGATTTGTCCTGGATAATAAGCATACCTTTGTGCATTAAGTTTAAAAAAAACGATGTGATATAAAAAACTATACTTAATATATTATTACGGGTTTATTTATGAATGCTCTCTCCTCACTAACGTTTCCGTATGCATATGTTATATTGCACAGTTAAATAGAAGTCCGTACATGTACCTACCTATAGTAAACAAATGCATTTTCTGGTACATTAATGGAAATTACCGTAATGATGTGAATTCACCTTCAGTCTTGGTGGTACGTAATTGTGAAATTGGTCAAGCAGTAGCTAACTATAGCATCATAATGATTTATGGTCAGAGGTGCACAACTGAGAAATGTCATGAATGATAGGATGAGTGAGTCATTGCTTCTTTTTGTAGGTAATTCGTACTCTTTGTCCTTTTTTGCACCTCTGGCAACGCGTGTACAAGATGTTGTGTTTGTAAGTAAGTAGTTAAGGTGTAAAATCGAAATTATCACATTAGTTAGAATTAGGATGACTATTATCTTTTACCCGCGTCTGCAGTTGCATTCCGGGTAATTAAACCCCAGAAGCGAATGATTATTATTACCAGTTCCAAAATTAGATAAACATAGGTATATTATGCTTATTTTTGTTTTTGTCAGTTAACCAACAGAACAGACGTGGACACAGTGAAAAAGTCTTCATTAAGAAATATATCTGTTTTGTATAAGTTCTTTGTATAGTGGCAACTAAAATACTTAGGTGAACATAAAAAATACGTTGTGTAGTCTGTTGTGACAAGCATTTAATACAATAAATCTATTAATTTGTACACTGTAAAAACACTTAAGTTATCCTATTCGAAACATATACAAGGTATACGATATTTTAGATGTGTCAAAAAGTCAAAATACAAAAGAACTGAATGCGTAGACTTCCAAATCTATCCATAACTTACAACTAATGTATAGTATATTCTGTAAACTATTCAATCTAAATATTAACCCGTACAGATGCTGATCATTCAGTACTAAAGAAAAAAAAATCCTTTCAAAATCAACAAAGCAGTAACGAGACGAACTAAAATTTACCTATCGGGCAGTATAATGCCCGACTTCGTTAATTGGTGGCCAGGCTAATGAGGAAGCTGACAGCGCCGGAACAATTCGCTCCATTTATTAAACAATTGGCGACGTAAACATTACATCATTAATAGCATAATAATTAGCTAGGTCACTGACTGTACTATTTTAAGCAGCCTGTCATATGAATGAAATTTATGGTTGCAATAAAGTACTGGCCTATGCGTTTGAGAGGTAGAAATTTAACTGAACACAACCATTCAGAAAGTCCTTGCCTTTATTTTACTTCCGATTATATCAAAGTGTTTTAATAATTTTTTTATAACTAGCCTTTCTGCAACGACGTTTCATCTGCGTTTACGGTCAACGATCCGCTCTTAACGGTTGGAGCCTAGTGGTAGCCTTCCATAAGGAATATTCTATCTATAAATTATTTAAATCATAAGTAGGTATTGATACTTCCAGGGGCTTGAGCATCATCATCATCAGCCTATCGCAGTCCACTGCTGGACATAGACCTCTCCCACTGCATGCCACTTAGATCGATTTTGGGCTTCTCGCATCCAGCTCCTGCCAACCATCTTGCGCAAATCGTCACTTCACCTGGCCTGTGGGCGTCCTACACTACGTTTGCCGAGACGCTGTCTCCACTCAAGAACTCGTTTTCACTAACGGTTGTCGGTTCTGCGGTTAATATGGCCAGCCCACTGCCACTTCAGCTCGCTAATCCGGTTGGCTATGTCGATGACTTTGGCTAGAGCATGTAAACACACAAAAAACAACACGACACAAAAAGAAGTAGAAATAAATTACTACTAGAATGTAGACCCACAATGTGTGTGAATATGTAAATTATGAGTATTATGAGTAGGGAAACTAATTGAATCGGTTCCGCGCAAAGCACTTTAAAAACATGTGTAAAGGAATGAAAAAAACTTACAGAGCTCCTAAGCAAAAGCAATATTTAATTTACTCATTTAATTGACATACACACCTACATGTCTTTTATTACTGGCTGACAGGTCTTAATGTACCAATCATCATGATCAAACATTAGATTGAAGTAGAGACGTTAGATGGTTTTTTACATACTTGCCAACGCTCATACGATAACACGTCAAAAAAACATTAATATCTATCGTGCACAGCTAATCTGCAATCCAATTTCATAGAAACTACAACCAAACCGGAGACTGCATCTTATTTATCTTTTAAATCTACAATCTCTTTTTAACCGATTTAAAAAAAAAGAGGTTTTCAATTCGTCGCAATCTTTTTTATGTATGTTCACAGTTACTCGAAGGCACCTGAACCGATTTGGAAAATTTTCTTATTTGTTTTAAAGGGTAGGTATATACTTCCCAGGTCCCATTGTAATTTTATAGAAATCAGTACAGCGTTTTTTGAAAAGCCAACAATAATCTATAAATTTTATTAATTAGGGGTTAAAGTACGAAACTGCCGTTGTATAGTAATAGATATTTTGAATTGGCACAAAACCTTCGTGGTGTGAGATTTTCGTGTAAATCTTTTTTCACATGATACCTATGTGGTTCTTCTTTTAAAACATTTGCAACATTCGATTTTCGACTTTCAACTGTTTTTTTTTATTCAACTTAGACGTAAAACATGGATATTTCGAAACACTATAGCTTTCTCAGGTATGGTCAGGCAATAACAGCAGATGTTTACTGTGCCGAACTTCAAACAATGATGGCGAAACTGGCAGTGAAACAGCCCATACTCGTGAATCGATCTTTACCATTATCGCTCCATGATAACGCAAGTCCTCACACTGCATGCGATTCCGTTGTAACCCTACAATAGCTGCAGTTAGAAACCATACGTCATCCTCCGTACTCGCCAGACCTTGCTCCAACCGACTACCATTTTTTCGTGATTTGGACAAATTTCTACGTGATAATAAAAAAAGTCCCAGGAGGCAGTACAAAATGCTTTCACACAATTTGTTGAATCTAGATACCCAGAGTTCTATCGTAAAGGCAAAAATAAACTTCCGTTTAGATGGCAGCAAGGTATAGATAATGAGGGTAAATATATTGATTAAATAAATATATTAAATCTTAGAAAAAACGGATTTCAATTTTTAGTACCTTGTTGTCTTATTGTAGCAGTGCGTTTAGTTGACCCATCCATATTGTATATAAACAAAATACGTCTACTTTCCACCAAAAATTTGAAAAATAAATTATTTTTAATCTACTTCTTTCTAAGGGACGTCGTAACGAATACTGAAATAGTGTATTCAAACCATAATTCTGAGTCGAAAATCATTGGAATTTCCTGCCGGAAAATTAAACTTTTTATGCAATCAGCTGTCAAAGGTTAAGGTCATTCCCCGTAGGTATCGCAGAAAAGTAATAACTACATGAGTATCCTGTGCAAACAGTCTACGCACACTATCACAAAATGGCGGCCGGAGGGGAGGCCCTGCGAGCTTCGACTGTTTGATTAATTACATTGCAGTTTGGTATTTATCAAATTGTTTTCGGTAAAATGTTCTGTCTACTCATTGTGACATCATTTTTATCCAGAAAATTGGAAAATTACAAAAAAAATTGATGAATTTTTCCGGCAGAAAAATGATTTTCGACTCAGAATCATAGTCTGAATACACTACTTCAGTATTCGGTACGATGTCGCTTACACGTTGTATATATATTAAGTCGTTGTCTTACTTGATTTGACAACATTATTTAGATATTTAGATTTATATATAAGATATACTAATGGATTTCTTTTGCAGAACCACCGCGCGTGCTATGGATGGTGCACGAGAATGGCACCCAGGTCGCGAAGGCCAGCCCAGGGGTGAACACTAGTCAAAACGTGGGCCCTTACTACGTTGGCGATACTGTGCACCTCGCATGCGTTGCTTATGGAGGTAAACCAAATTTCGGTGTAAAACTAATAATAGCTGTGTAATTGTAACGTGGACACGAACGTGGATGATGAATTGTAAAAATGTCTCCTTTCCGTATTCACCTTTTTGGCGCGGCAGTAACGTCAAAAATCCCGGGTTCGATCCCCGCACAATGCAAATATTAAGTAGTAATATTTAATATTTTATAGCGCACACTTAAAATTGTCCTCGTCTATGCCTATAGAATTACTTGCCGTGACTGACTAATTCATCTAGGCAGAGCCTGCACCGCTAGGGCTCTTGAAATGTTGGCAGCTGATGCTTTTTATGTTGTAAGAAGCCAATAATAGAGGCTTTTTGGATATTTCACCCTTGATTGGATAAAATAAGGGATGAATAGTTTTATCATCATCATCATCGACAGTCCACTGCTGCTACTATGGCACGCTGGCCAAACGGTTTGGAATAGGGTTTGTTTGCAGTTTTCCTTCTTTTTGCATTGCTGTTGGCCTGAGTAGTTTACTCCCTTAGTCGGTTCTTACGACACCCACGGGATAAATAGGGATGGTGAAACTCCGTATTCTTAATCAGTCACTACACGGACACAGGACACCGAACAGTTGCATGGAAGTATGTTATTTTCAAAGTTAGAAACACGAAAAGATCACGGGAGCGAAAACGCGAGGAATAGCTATTTCATATAAGTTACATATTATTGCCGATAGCACAACCATAGCTGTAAGTTGCACTATGTATTATTAAACTTTTTTTTACTGTGTGCAAATCAAATTAATTAAAGCATTTTGAATATTGTAGGGAAACCGTTAGCATCGCTGGCATGGTGGACCGAACAGCGTCTACTAAAAAACACGCTGACTCCGCTCTCAGAGCACCGTGTTCGCAGTGACCTGATCTACGGTCCCCTACAGAGAGAAGATCACGGTCGAGTCTTCAGTTGCTTCGCTAAAAATAATGAGAAAACATCGCCGCTTTCTATAGATGTCGCCATAGATATGTATTGTGAGTAAAGCGACCCAGTTAACTTTTTACTTTAAAACTTAAATTGTTTAAAATAAGGTAATGGGTTTTTAAGATATATTATATATAAAGGTATAAATCCTCAAATGCACTCTAACCACGTAAACGGATATGACAATATGTAAAATCTAATTAAAAAAAAATAGCTATACCGAATTTTAACAAGTGGCTTGAGAAACTACAGGTAAAACGAGTTTGGTAGAAAAAGAAATACAAAAACAACAATAGGAGTAGGTACCCAAACGCAGTTATAATTTTTACAATGTCCTGACTTGGTCTCACGCTAGTTAATAATTAATTAATCCGTATTTCATCTATTTGAAAACAATTAGCGAAATGATACTTAACAAATATTTCAGATAGCACATTTAAACATTCAATGATTATGATCATAACATTACATAAGATAAAAAATCTCTACATCATCTCAAAACACAATTTTCGATTACTTACTAAGTATGAATAGTCGATAACCAATTTTTCTACCCCCAAAAAGTAATGACTGTCTCGTAAACAGTACCGCCGGATTTAGTCTCCCTGAGAAGCGAGGGTCCAGAGTCAGAAGGGGGCATAGGTAGAGTTCGTGCTGGAGAGGCCTTGTGGCTGCAATGCCGGGTGTTAGGAGCGCGACCCTTGCCACCCATTGCCTGGAAGCTTAACGACAATCAGCTGCTGAACTTGGAACAGAAAATTAGTGTAAGTATCAAAAGATAGTATCTACTTAGTTACCTGCTGATGTTTTTGTCCCTATATTAATAGTTGACAACGCTTAAAGTGATGCACCTAAGCGGTTTACTTATGCTCTGTTGAAACCGAAAACAATGCTTTGGGTGTAAACAAACAAATTATTCTAGATACTATTTGAACGAATTTCAAATCTTAGTCTTTTTATAAAAACTAAAAAGTACCTATACGTAATATATTGCCATAAGCTAAATGTAAGCTGCCAAACTGTAATAAAGGTCATATCTCATTACACCCACCTGACACCCGACCAGCACCACCTCGACTCGGTGTCCACTCGTTGATGGTGGGTGGAGGCCGCGTTGTTAACCAGAAAACGATACGACAGACACGCATGCATCGTCCTCGCGCGTGAACCACTCGTGGTCAGCGGCCATTCATCTAGTGGTCCACTTGTCGTCGTTACCTAGTGGTCCACTCGCCGTCCGCGCGTGGTCAACCCGCGGGCGAGGAGCTCCGGAGCTGATGTAGTAACGGCTTACTATGGGTAAACGTCACTACATGAACTATGGAGCGCTCCATACAAAAAAAAAACACAACTCTAATGAGCTATGTACCTTTAAAGTTCAAAGCTTCTATACCATTATTCCTAGATCTATTTTTACCTACCTTTTTTACAGATGGAGCCGTCTCAAAGACTTGTAGTTAGTGAAATCCAATTAACGATAGACCGACATCACGACGAGTCACACATCAGATGCTGCGCGCCTTCCTATCAACGCAACGATGAGAAATTAGTGTGTTCCCAGCCTCTACCCCTTACTGTTTCATGTGAGTTGTCACACCATTATTGCAACCATAGTTATCTTAGCTCCCACATAAAATATAAATAAATAAAGAAAAAACATAAAGTGGGTCATTACTTTCAATTCACAACAAAAAGAGGATATCTTAAAAAGAGCATCTTTCAACACGCTTAGTACCAAATCATTCAAGATAAGCATAATAATTATGCGATTTTGATTTGTTGTCCAACTTTTACATTTAATTTTTAATAGAAGAAGCTATTTAAAACTTTAATACTTAATAAATATTGTCTCCTTTCTGAAATCACTTTCATTAAATCTGTTTATGCAATCATTTCAGACGCACCGGTGCTAGAAATAGTCGTGGAGAGTAACGTAGACAACAACACCCTGGCGGTCGTAAAAGGTTCAAATGTGTCGCTAGCCTGTAATTATGAGGCCAATCCTTCTGTTTATGAGCTGTTATGGTTTCACAGGGTAAATTTCAACACTATTAGTAAAACAGTTGCTTGTTAGGTAGCTTTTATAGAGATGCTTGTGGTGCTAAGCATTTGAACAAAATCTGGCAGTCGTTTAGAGCATTTGTTTTGCACAGTTCAAATGTCCTCTGATAGTATTACTGTATAAGACTGTATAAGATGTATAGTCACGAAATACTACAAAAACCAATCCTTTTTGTTAGTTTTATAAATACTTTTTCGTCTATTTTCTCAAGAAGTAGGTGACAAATTAACTATCACAATATGTGTTTTTTAGGAAGACCTGGTAGTAAATGATGATAATAGTAAAAGGGGAACGATACGACAGATACTAGAACTCAACAATGTGACAGAAAATGACGAGGGGGAATACGCCTGCGTCGCAACCAATGACGAAGGGTCAACATTCAGTGATCCTTTAGTTATTAATATCACTTGTAAGTATTCAGCAACACATCGGCGTACAGCATATTCTTTCTGATTTTTCTCTTGTGATAGGATAGAGTGATAGCAGTTAACTGTTACAATAACACGCACGATTCCTTACGTATACACACACCAGGAAGCTATATCATCACACATGACAGCTGTCCTTGCTTTACTATTGACTTTACTACTGACGTACGTATTTACTCTGTACGTACCTAGTTGATCTGCAAGTTCAGCAACCACAGAATTACGTTACAAGTATGTTGGAACTAGAAAGAGCGGTTACAGATTCGGCTATCGGCTGAACCTAGCGGTCTTTTCTGTGAGGTCTGGTATGCAATATATAGAAAGAACAATAGAATAGAATATTTTTTACTGTACACCAATTACAATATGTTAGAAAAATATTACAGGTTCGGGAGAAAGCAAAAAATGAACTGGAACGCTGAAAGATTTTAAGCCTCTTTTCGACCTGGACCAAAGGCCTTTGACAGCGTAGATAGATATAGACAGGGCCGAGATTAGCCTGACTTTAATAAAAACGATGTGTTTTTTAAGTATTTAGTCGTTTCTACAACATCTACCTTGACATGCCCTTGATGAAGTGGCAACAGTTGTTTTTAACACTGATAGCATAGTTAGTGCACAAATTTGAATAAAACATTATATACGCACTTTATATTTGATATACATTGACATACCAGGGTAGGATGTAACTTACTAACACTTACGACTCAGTAGCGTTATGGATCCTAGAAAAAAAATCACACGATTTCAATAAAATTTAATTTCAGATCCAGCATACTGTGCAGACGAAAGCATTGTAGAATATGGGCTAAGTGAAAACGAGGCAATAAATATAACTTGCAATGTTAAGGCGAATCCAGAACCGATGTCGTACCGATGGGTGTTGGTCAACGACGCAGTGAACATCACATCTCTTAAGAACTACCCACAGAGCATCATTGAGACTGAAGAATCCATTCTCTTATATGAGAGGCCTAATGGAACTGCTTTTAGTGAGTGATTGTTATTCTAATATAGCATTATACTTTCAAACGTACAAAAGTGTTGATAACTTCCGTCTACCAATTATCGGACTGCGTCAAAATTCCTTTCAACTCGGCTTAAACTTGAATACATTGAACACTTAATATAGCTATAATATTACTTAATATTATATTAATACTTATATCATAAATGTGAGAGTAAGTTTGTATCTTTGTTACGCTTTCATGCCTAAACCAATAAACCGATTTAAAAAATTCTTCCTTCAATCGAAAGCTACATTATCAGCGAGTAACATAGGCTTTTTTTACCGCGATAACCGACATACGCGAGGGCAGAGCCACGGGCATAAACCAGTAGTTACGAGTAGAATATAACTAGGCAGGACAATAGCACTGCTAAGAGAACCCTATCTTGAAACAAACCCTATAACGTCCGGCCAGCGTGGTTATAGTTGGCCAAAAGATTAAGGAGAGGCCTTTGTCTAGTCAGTGGACTATTAAAGGCTGGCTACAATGGTGATGATGATATTATAGCTTGTTAAAGGACTCGGATTCATTCATTCCTCGTTTCGTTTGTAAGTGACATAAATAACATACTTAATTCCTAAGAGTTCTTATATTTTTAGGTACCATATTTTGCTGGGGACAAAATGAAGTACCAACTGAAAGACAGGTACATAGTCCATGTACATTCTTAGTAACAGACGAAACTATCCCCCGACCACCAACAAATTGCCAAGCTAGAAAGAACGTTGAGCACGATATTACAGTGACATGTGAAAAGGGACATGACGGTGGACTACCACAGGTGAGAATCCTGTGTTAAAAAGAAATGCATCCTTTTCTAAATAAAGAAATTTATAAATTGCAAATATTTATTCAATGTTCAAACCATTTTTTTTCAGAAATTCAAGTTCATCGTCAAACCAGCAGACGATGATAATGGAGAACAGTTAGTTTCCATAATAAATTTAGAACCAAAGTTTATGATTCCGGAACCAAATAAGGAAAATTACAAGTTTGTGATAATAGCTTTCAACGAAAAAGGAGAGAGTCAGGTTGTTGAAATCAATGCAGATAGCATTATCGATGAGACAAAAGGTAATTTATATTCATTAACATAAACCTTTCGTGAAATAATAAAATCAACCACTTCTTATTGCGTGTGGCTTTATTTAGTGGTAATCATTTAGATCACGATAAGATTCTACATACTTGGGTTTAAATACAGTATAAGTTACAAATATTTTTTCACATGTACATATTTAAAATACAAAACATGGTATTTGATTAATTTGTATATAAGTAAAAAAATCGGTCAAGTGCGAGTCGAACTCGTGCGCCGAAGGTTCCGTACCTACCCTAACTTTATGTAGATTTTCGCAAAAACTTGTAAGTGCAAAAATTTACATTAATTTTCACCTTTTTTTATTTTTTTGAATTTTTCTTTATTTCATTTATTTTAAAGACCTTGCAAAATTGACAATTCTAGCGAAATTTGGCAAAAAGCAAGGTCTTACAGGTAAGGTCTTATAAGTAAAGGGAAAATACCGAAAAATAAAAAAGTAAAAAATTAAGGTAAATTTTGGTACTTATAAGTTTTCGCGAAAATCTAAATTCGCCCATATCTTTTTATCGTGTTGACTCAGGATTGATTTTCACACGCCACTGTATAAATTTCAACTTGCTAGGTCCACCCTTTCCTAAGAAAATCGGTGGTGACACACGGACAGACAGACAAGGTTTCTTTTTTTACCTTTTGAGGTACGAAACCCTAAAAACAATACAAATTAGCAAGTATATGTTTAAAGAAAGCTCCTTTATGCAAGCATGGTTTTGTTACGATAATGGTTATGTGTATGTATGTGTGTAAGTTTGTCTACGTACATATATATAATTTAATCAAAGTTTAAATAAAATAAAAAGTTTTTTCTGTTTAGTGTCGGATGTGGCGGGCAGTGCAGTGGCAAACATTACAACACTGGCGCTGGCGCTATGCGGCGGGGTGGCGCTCGTGGCGCTGGCGGCGTGCGGCCTCGTGCTGTGCACCTACGAGCGCACCACGCGTGCCGACCTGCCGCGCGACCGCGCCGACCCACCGCTCTGCGCATACAACACTGAAGGTATTCACGACAACTATGGTTTCGAATAATATTAATTTAGTGTATCAAATTCTAAATGTATAGTGAACAATGTAATGTATCCTAAACCGATTTTGGCTTATGTTAAAATCTATAATTTAAAAAATAATAAACTTGCAGAATCCAACTGTGAAACGTGTCACGACAGTGACGAAGGCAGTGAGTGCAACGTGAGACGAACTGAATCATTTCGTAGAGCTATGTCGCGACATCCCTCGAAGAACTTCGATGTAAGGCGAACCAGCTCGTTCCACTCGGCGCGCTACATGAACGAGGAGGCCGAGCCGGAGACCTACAATAAATCTTACGATATATCACGCCATAGTAATAACTGTAGGGTACACTCCCTACAGAACATTAACAGAAAGAGAGACATGGACGCCCTTTGCGACCATTTAGTCTTACGGCTTCCACCAGAGACAAATTACAACGTTGCTCGACCGGTAGGTAGCATCCCCTATATTTATTTAATTTAGAATAAAAGCCATCATTTCAATTTTAGAATCTAACGACTTTCAGATGAACACGTTCTACACTATGCCTAGAAAAATGCGACACAAGCTAGCAAAGGAGCTCAGTGATGAGATGTCAGAAATAACTCAAACTTCAGACGGATTCTCGTTGCCGCCTCCTCCAGATGAATTTGGTACCTATCGAGCAGCCAGTAGAATAAAAGACATGCCTACTAAAGCAACACCAACTTATACAACGATCATAAGAAAAAACTCGGCGGGGAAAGGCCCTACAAAGCAACAATACAACAATGTAATAATATCTCCGATGAATACTGTAGGCCTACCCTCAGTAAGTGGCGGTCAGCACAGTGGTGTGTATTCATACCCTGATGACGATCATCAAGAGCATCAGGTAAATACGAACCCTTTCGACGAAGACTCCTCGTAATTTGTGTATATATAATAAATGTATCATTAATCATTGATTTTTATCCATTTTAAAGGAAACGCTGTATACGACTGGTATCGTTCAACCTTATTTCACCCCTAGGGCGTCTGGATTGTAAATACTAAATATTTCAATTAGTAGATCTCATTTTATGTGCATGACTAGTTACGCCTGTTAGACAGGTTTAAGAAAACTAGTAGAGTCCCTACACTGTAGAAATACATTTTTCATACTCAAAGTACTTTAAGCACGTATTATGCTTTGATTAAGACATAAGTTATTTATTTGAGGTAGGTATACTTATTTACTGTGATTAGTTGGTATTTGAGTGACAATAGCCTTCAGAGGTAATAGGCTTTGTTTATAATAGTAATACCATATACCATTATAGTAGAGGAGCCCATGATGCTAAATGGGGATTTACTCGAACGTCATGGGGCCCTTTTGCATTTGAAAGATCAGGTAATAGAATGAATAAAAGTCATAAAATGTTACCACTTTCAGCTGTGGGAAAAGCTTCTACAGGTTTTAAAAAATGTGAGGGGAGGACACTGAAAAAAAAATTCGATATCGAGATATTTTGTTAATATTTTATTTGGATACCAAAAATGCTCCCATTAAAGTTCTGACGATATTAAAGTGACACAAGCTGGTAGCTAATTATCGAAAATGCAAACTGCAAATACGAAAAACAGCCATTTCAAAATACCCGAGCGTGTTAGATTTTATACAGACGGTTCAGCTTGATGTTCCTGAACTAGCCAAAAACCTGACGATAATTTTGCAGAGTATTTTAAATGTGGCGTTTTAAAATATTTAGATTTTTTATAAAATGTGACAAATAAAGGCAGGAAAAATTTATGTCGACATTTAAAGATTTCTTCCTTTGTTTGCTTCAAAATAAAAAAAATGTCAAGGTTATGTGTTTTTTTTGGTACTTTGTAACTGACTGCTTTATATGACGCTAGTCGTCTGATTTTTTTAAAATAAGTAAACTAATGTGCATGTAATTGACTAAACTTACCTTAATCTTACACGCTTGAGTATTTTTTGGCCATCGCTTTTTTATTTATCAAATCTGATGGACTGCGCTAGATGATCTGATATGAAGAGCACATGTATGGTGGAGGTACTCAACTAGGTGTAAGGTCTTCCTCCTATGTTAATCTGACACGTTAGAGTAAATCCGGAAGTCCCTTCTAGGGCTCCGCTACTATTATGACCAGGTTCGGAAATCGTTCCTCCATACCTCATTTTAATGTGAGAATGTGAGTAGAATTCGACATAACACATTTTAAAAGTAATCTTTTAAATTTGACTAGGTTAGAAAATCAATTTTTATATTCTGTCAGCCTTACTTTGATTGAGGACATATGCCTCTCCTTAGAAAGGAAGTTTTGGCCTGCTACACCACGCTGGGCAGAAGGGTTGGTAAGGGGTTTGTGACAATTTTTCCTTCTCTTTGCAGTGGTATGTCCTGCGTAGTTTGCTCCCTTAATCGACGCTTATGACACTCACGGGATGAATAGGAGTGACGACATTCCATATTCTTAATCCATCATCGTCGAAAATTGAATGTAATACTTTCTTAAATCCAAATAATTAGTGCTATGTTTCACGTTTACTTACACCCGTTATTTCTAGTTGAAGAAGTAGTCTGTCTAATTCAAGAAACAGGTTCCCTCCACCAAATGTACTGATGAACTGGATAAATTGGTAAGGCGCCGTTGGATAAAGACATTACACATTGTCGCTATGCAAGTCGTCGGGTGGGCCCTGTGGTCATCAAAATACCTAATGGCTGAGCTTTAATTTGTAAACCAGTTAAGAAAATATTTAATAGAAATCTGTCTAGATTATTTTTCCGGAACACTGGTCACAAATAAAAGAAATTTAGACACGTTTTTATAAAATGTTTAACAAGCTACCAGTGACTTAGTTTTTATTTGTTCGTTTGCTCTGATATGTTTGTTAATAGGCAGGAAGGTATATAAATAGAAAGACGTTAAGAGACTTGAATCATAGTTTATTTACAAAAATAGAAACATTTCCATAGTGCCTTTAGATGCATAATCACCATTATTTTTTTTACTATGCACATGATTTAACATATTTGTACATTTTAGATAATTATAAAAGAATGTTTGTATGTCACTGCCATTGTCAATGTTACCAATAGAATGAATGTAATTAGAAAATTGTATTGTTTATATTTTACGAATTTTGTATAAATAGCAATTTTTGAAAATAGAACATGTATAAATGTCAGTCAATGTATGTTTTTGTGAATATCTTAATTATTTTAAGGTTCTTATGATAAAACTTAAGTTCAGTTTTCAGTCTAAATGGATACATAATATATTATTTTGCATTACATTATTAAAATTACTTAAACAGTACTTTAAATCCTTTCTTTTCCCTTTTCTGACAAATTAAAAACATCATAGCAAGGCAAAGACATTATAGTTTTGTAATCAGTAAAGTGCACTAGTATTAATGTTTTGATGTACCACTTTATTTTACAACTATAACATACAATAAGTTTAGTCCATACGATCTAGATGCGCCTGCGCCACTGATAAACGTTCGACTAGACGTTGTGTATTCGGTCGTGCCTGCAAGAAAAAATTACATGTAAAAAAGGGTTACAATTAGTAATAACTACAAAACAAGATGTGATTTACATACTTATGTATGTATACTATACACTATCTGCTACTTACTAATTGGTGTTTCGATAATCATTGGTATAATACGAGTCCGTATAAAACGGGTCGGCGACAGTGTGGTGGTTCAAGGCACACCTTATGAATCGTATTCCTTTTATGATTTTTCTAAAGTATTGCTTTCTTTCGAAGTATCTTGTAGCTAGTCTGACACCGGTCGATAGCAATGATAGCAATTTGTTTAGTTACAGGTGCATTAAAATACAATGCTAGGTATCAAGAGTGATGACTTGGTATGAAAACAGAAAGCAGAGCAATTATGTGCTATGAGTCGTTTCGATAAATGGTATAAATATATTCCTACACAAGTATATATAGTAGCCACGGGCGTCATTATACTTTTGATATTGCTAGTACTGATTAATGAACCTCAGGAGATTTTATGCATTTGTGACTAAGAAGTTTCAGAAATGTGGAAGTATCACCTGTAGCGCGGAGAGCGCGGTCTCGTGCAGGTCCTTGCAGCGCGAGAGGGCGCGGCGGCGCGGGGCGGGCGGCAGCGGCGCCAGCTCGGCGCGGGCGCTCTCCAGCAGCAGCGCCGCCACGCGGTACACGTGGCTCTCCTCGCCGCAGCCCAGCCACACGCGCTCGCTTAGGCTCACCAGCCTAACGGATACATTAGAACTTGGTAACAAGTGAGCGTAAGGCCCCGTCTTCACAGCGATATTTTACCGCATGTTTTTTTCGCAAAATTCTGTGACACATGTGATTTATATAGAACTATCCGCACTGGTGGTGAAAATAGGTGATTTTTTTATACAAAATGAACACGATACGACGGCGATTTATTTCCGCACCATTTTGGGAAAAAAAAATCCCAGGGTCAAATATCGCTGCGCGGGCGGGCCCTAAACGCAAGAAAGTTCATGGGTACCGCTTGTACTTGGAAAAAGTCTTATCTGTACTCGAGTTACTTCCTGAAAAAAGTTTTCATCAGCCTTGTACGTTGGTTTATTCATATTTTGTCTCTCGTAAAACTATGATTTTGTTTACACTTATTTGTAACGCAGCCCTTCTCATGTCTCTACTAAAGTTCTGCACAAACTTTCATTGACCTTTTTGAAGCGAAATGCAAAAACAAACAATAACTAGTCCATTTTGAACGATGGAGTTCACAATGGAGTGAACTAGCTCAGCCCTACCTAGTCTGGACTAGGGAGTCGCTTAAGCGCTATTTATAGCGATCTTGACATACAGACTATTCATACACGTTCGCCATTATAAGTGCCTGTCAACTAAACATTTAGATCTACATTATCACACACATCTTATTAATAAGCAAGTGTAATTAAACCTACCCGTATTGGTGAGTAGAGAAATACATTAATATTATATTTTCCCACAAAAGGCACAAGAACCGACCTTTGTTAATTAAGGACTAAATGAAAGTAAATAAAAAAGATTTTATTTTATACGTACTTGATATAGATATCCAGGACCTGCTCCAGCGAGACACCAATGTTTAAAATTGTTCTAAAAACCATTGCCTTATCTGCTTGTAGCTTACAACTCATTATTTCTAGTTGACGGACGATGAAATCTATAATTTTATCCAGTAAAAAAAGAAAATATTTTACTATTTGTAAGAATATAAATAGTACTCACTTAAACATATCTTTTAAGTTACTTATGGTGTGAGATGGCTTAAAGTCGTTATAATAGGAATCATAAAACAACAATACAACTATGAACTCACATAGCGGAAAACAGTGACCAGTGTTGACATATTCTCTTCCGAGTGTGGTGAGCTTGCTAAGTACAGAGCCGAGTCTTTCGTCGGGAGTGGCAAGACTTCTGGCGGCGGCCTCTGCTTCGGATAATATATTACTCCATATATTTTCAACGAGTAGAGCATCGTTAAGTCCAGAACATTGCACGATGGCGAGTTTGCACTCCCAAAGATTGTAACGATCTGCATATTCCTCGTAAAGCTACAAAAGGCATAAGGCAAGATTTAGAGATTTCTTAAATCGTAAATAAACGAACTTTATCACGCAATTTAAACGAATACAGGCGTTACTATGATTTACATAAGTAGTACCTGGGCGACGGAGTTTCGGTCGGCAAAACTATTTGAATATCAAATTTTATCAAAAACGTTGCAGACGTTTCTGAGATCAATAATAATGTTCGATGTGATCGATACCGTCACAAGAGTACTGAGGGTGTAGTGTGAGTTATTTCCCGGCTCGCACACGGTTCGTCGTCGTGCGCCAGGCCCCCAGACTTCGTACCTGCGTGATCTCGAGCAGCTCGTCGTCGAGGCGCTGCAGGTGGTGCGGGTGCGGCTGCAGAGGGCGCGGCAGCGCGGCGGCGGCGGCGCGCACGGCGGCCTGCACGCGCGCCACCTCGCCCGCCTCCTCCAGGCGCCGCAGCAGCTCGGCGCCGCCCGCCCCGCCCGCGCCCGCGCCGCGCACGCACACCACGCCCGCCGACAGCCACGTCATGCGCTGCGCCAGCGTGGCGCCCGACCTGCGCACGCCATCACATTAACGTTCACCATATTGTGAATAGGTGACCGTAATCCTCACTTATTTATTTTAAATACGTACTGTAACCGGTACATATGTAATATCTGGGACATCAATCGAATCACAAAAACTACAACCGGTTGACCGGTTCGCTTTAAAAATTAACCAAGGCTGCTCCGTGTTAAATTTTTAGCCTGGAGCCTGGACACGGCGCTCCACACGCTGGCAGAATGCCCGCGTGTGGAGCAGTTGCAATGCAAGGCGTTGCCTTGTAGCGGCCTACGGAATGGGAATTCTCTCGCTCGGTAACATGATTGCCACCATGGTACGGAGCGAGAGTTCGTGGTATTCCGCCGTCTCCTTCTGCGAGCAAGTTATGCTTGCAAAGGAGGTGGCGGAGTGGGACCGGGAGAGGTTTAGAATTCTTCCGGTCCACCAGGCCCGGCAACGAGCCAGGTACCACAGACGACTCAGGCGCCTCAGGCGCCGGCGGTCGCAGAACGACCTCCGTCCTCCATACTAAAATAATTTAACGTTTCCAAATAACTAAGAGACAATTTACAAGAAAAAAAAATGTACATCTTTTTTTTGGGTCCTTTTTGCATTATCAAAACAACTTTTCATCCGTATTAGTGTGTGTGCGCACGTCACACGTGCGTACATCGTTTTTTTTGTACTAGTCGAATAATGATGTTTATTATTTATTAACAAATTTTAACAGACCCGGGCCTAGTGGCTAGCCCCTCGAGCACGTTGGCGGCGGCGAGGTGGTCCCCGCTCTTCTCTAGCACCTTCCACAGCAGGTCGAGCAGGTGCAGCGCGGCGGCGGGCGGCGCGGACCGCGCGGCGGCCGCCAGGTACGTGCGGAGGGACGCGGGCGGTGCCGTGCCCAGCGACAGCAGCTCTGACCAGTCGTTATATAACATATTACACATGACATTTTTTTGTTCATTAGATTTTTATTTATGGCATAAGGAGGCTAATAAACAGACGGGTGTTGTGAAGGTTTTGTTTAATTTGTCTATTGTGACAACCCTACCAAATTAGATAACAATTTTGCACGTTCTTAAGAAGCCTTGTCTCTGTTCCGTTTATCTACTCATGTGGCGTTAACGCCCTTCAGGTACCTCCCCCTAGAATCTATGGAAGGGGCCTCTTTATTTGTTTACAGCAACAAAAATGGCTAAAAATATTTAGCTTTCATGTAATAAGTATATCAAAAGCCTAGTAAACATTTTGCTGTATCTACATCAAGGTAAAGATTATCATAATGTACAGTAAATTTCATTTTTTTTTGTGAGTAGGGAGTAGGTAGAGTAGTGATTAAAAAGCTTTTTTAACATAACTTCATTAAAAATGTATAATACCTGATCCTAATTGTTTGGAGACAAGCCACTCATAAACCGCAACGTGAAGAAGCTCATCGTCTCGAGACAAACATTCCCATACTAATTTCCTTCCCTGAAATACAAAACATATCGCACATAAATTCTAATATTACGCGGATAAAGGGCCACAAAGACGCTTCAGTTTGAATGTGTAGATGGGTATTGTCAAACCACTTGATTAGATTTACTTTTTCTCCCCGAGAATACTCCGAAAACTTTTTATGCACAAAATTTTACTAACTTACTTGATGATTTACCACATGTCTCCATAAAGTATCAGCATGGTGGTTGCCCTGCGCATTATAGGAGAAGAGAGAAAGAATGGCTGAATTCTAATTAGTAATAAGTTGCTTGAGTGGCTCGTGTAGATACGCGATTAACTTAAATAAACACAAATTCTTACGTGATAGTTAGCGTCGGCAGGCGATATCGTTAATATGGCGATATCGTCGGGTGCGGGCTGTGAACGTAATGGCGATGGCTCGCTGGTCGAAGTCTCCGCGCTCCGTTCGTACAATCGCTCCAGTGCTGAGCACACTTCGCGGTATATCTCCATTCTAAAACATTGATAAGAAAGTTAACCTTTACTTTATATAAAGGATTAACGAGTGAATAAATCTATCTATACAGACTGTGAGAATAGTACCGGAACAGCCGAATAATTCGCTAGGAATGTATTTATCGGAAAAACGTTAAAGATTATTATAACACACAAGTTACAGAACTTTTCCCTGGCTATCTATAGATATATATCTATTGGTGACCTTGAATTTGACCTTGATCGCAGCCTTAAAGGTTATCTCAAGGGTCAAGGGCACTTTTTAAATAGGATTGCATAGTTTCGAGCCCGGAATTGAAGACCCGTTCATATCCGAAATCGGATATGAACGTCAGTACGCAAATTTTGACCTCTAATGGTCACCAATCCAAGGTCAAACTGACTGATTTAAAAACATTATAACAAACTTGCATAAAAATGTTGATCAACATTTACGTACCTTCTATAATAAATAAAATGTCCCTCTCTATCTTGCGAAGGCTGGTCACTCTTGTAATAATGCACGGCTTTGTCTTGAGGATCTAATTTAGTGGCGCAGGCTACACACAGTTCTACCACGCCCGAGTAGAACCCAGCTGATACTAATTTCGAACACACTAAAGGAAGATTTACGTTAGGCGCTACGTCCTGAAACAAATTATATGATAGTAAAAATAAATAAACAATAATAAATACTGTACTGTTATTTTAATGGCGAAATCTCTCTATGAATTAGTGTTAGGTTAGGAAATAGGACTTGACATGCCTGTAAGTCTATAGTCCAGAAAATAGTGACGCATCGTTGTCCACTGATCAAGCCCCGAATCAGCTGACCAGTTGACTGCAGACTCGTACGAAACTATTGATAGTGATTTAACCGTTACATTACATTTAAAAAAATTATATCTCACTTGTTCTTAAGAAAAAAGTTTATCAATACTTTGTAGTGAAGAAAGACGAGTAATTCATAATGTTTTTAAGTACTTTAAACTGTGACTTTAATGTTACTATGGAGGTGTAGTCATAAAAACAGCAAGTGCATGCGTGTCCGATAGCGAAAGCGGAAAGCGAAAAGTCTGACATTTAATCTGGATCGAAAATTAGGACTGCAAGGACTCATAATAGTACTTTAATATTATTAGTACTTTGGCAAAACTAAACTTACTTTGCATAATTTCAATGCATGCTGCAGCATTTCTTCTCGCTCAGAAGGATTCTTCTGTTGTTTGGCAAATATCAGCAACTCATTGGCCTAAAAAATTAAAAAAACTGTAAGATTTAGATTTAATACAAGTTATATGAATAATTACTAACACTAGTATGCATATTGCATATAATATGGCAGTTATAGTTATCTATGTTACCTTAGAACAAGTGGCATCTTCTTGTCTATAGAGTGTAGGGCAGAGCTGTCTTAGTTTTTGTGAAATTCCATCAACCGACGCATTGTCTCTCAAATACCCTGCTACTAGAGATCCCAGTAGAAGACAAGCTACTTCTTGTCCACCTACAAAAAGCTCCCTATAACAAATATGTTATTACTAAAACATTTTAATATTAAAAGCAAATAGAACCTATGCATCAATATGTGAATGGATATGTGATCTTTTTGTAGTTTATACTCCTTTTTAAGCAAATTGCTAACTGTTGATATCTAAAAGTATAGATAAAGCATATCTTTGATCAAAAAGTCTTATAAATGCTGGCATTTCAGTGTCCAGTATATATTTTAATATCTCATGGTATGGTAAATCTATGTAATGTCAAATTTAAAACATAACCAATTATGGTCAAACTTCAACTACCCAGACGTGATCTCAAATTCTTTATAGTTCTCCTTTTGTACGGAAAGACATAATGTACAGGTGTGTAAGATATTATTAGGTACTGTGTACAATACTTAAATTTTTGTGTTGGGCCTTAATGTAAACAGCATGTAAAAATTATGCTCTGTTAAAAATTGATTAAGAAATCGTATGGCCATCAGGTGTACATAAAAAATAACTGAACATACTGACCTAAAACTAGCGGCCTGTAAAGCATTCTGTTGTTCGGGCGGTAGACTAGCAGCTATCACATGGAACTGATGCTCACACAACACCTTCCAAAGACTTAGCATCTCTATCGCCAATGCTGTAAAGCACATAAATAAAATATTAATAATCACGACTAAAATGGTAATACATGTAAGCAATTAGGAATTTTTATAGAAAAAATATATCAATTTAAAATAAAGTTTGAATTGGTAAAATTGAGGACTAAGTAATAAAAAAAATCTTATTTCTTTGTATTTTTAAAAGTTAGTAGTAATAATATTTGGGACATCTGACCCACAACGCCTTCTAGTTTCAAACTAATCGGGGCTTGTACTATGAAAGCTAGATTGACTCATAAATACATACACGTTGTACATAGAAAACACCCAAACTCCAAAACAAATATTTACAGATCATACAAACATTTGGTCCAACCCGGGAATAGGCTAGTTGACTCAATTTGAAAACTTGGTTAATTATATACTTTAATATCTATATTATCCCAAAACACTTATATTTTAAAGAAAAAGCAATATATACATTACGTATTTTGTATTAAAAAAAAAACAATTTAACTTTCAATTGAAAGCGCTGAATAGTGTCATGGCGTCTTGAATGACGTCACAGTGTCAACTGAAACTGTATTAAGGTGAGAAAATATGCAAAAAACGAAAAAGAATAAGGAGTAACCTGCTCTGTTGTATGAAAACGTCAACAACAATAATGATGTTTTACGTGGCGTGACGTAACACTTTCTGATTAGTGTTCACTGTCACGTGACTTAATGTCTATTTTGTTTTTTCTTATCTATGTCTCTTCATTTATAATTTGAAACTATAAACCAAGCAGTTTGTTATTAGTGGACACAAGCCTATCCCGTGACCTCAACACAGCAGTGGCATACGCTACCACTGCACCACCGAGACAGTCAATAGTATAGCATGGTTGTTCAAATTATGTACTTACTTATAAACAATTTTAAGGCTTGTAATGAGGCATGTTCTTCGGAATGTGGAGGTGCAAGCGTACATTGCATAAAGCTGGCCACACGCTGCAGTTTCTGTACAATATACGCACAATCCTCGCCTGTCACTTTACTACTCATCTGTTTTACGTAAATTTCAATTAATAAACTAATTATTAATTAAAAACATAATTGTTTTCATCAAATTAAATGTTACTTACAAATTCCTTATTATCGGGTGTCTGTGACATTGTTACACACTTCAAATTCCAAATAGGAGATAATATTCTACCAACATAAATATAAAGGCCATTATGCTTTGCACTGTATTCTACTTGCATGTGAAAGTTTGGATCTCTCTGCTGTTGTGACATATTGCCGACGAACAATGACTGATTAAAGTTAGGGCTCATCATGTTTTGGTGGAATGGGGACTGTGGCATTATGGACTGATTTGGTGACCCAGCAAACGATTGATTTTGTGAGGCGATTTGGTAGGATTGGTTAAAGTTCCCTTGCTGGAATTGTCCTTGAGGTCCTCTCATAGACATGGGTGTAGACATTTGACGCGGCGAAAATTTTGGAGATGCTACGGATAAGAAAATCAAAACAATTATAAAGAAAACATTTTGGAACATTAAATATAATTTAAAAGTATATTTTTTTTTACTTATAGAAGGCATTTGTGAAGGTTGCTGTTGGAACATGTTTGGAGTTGGTGCATTTGGTGCTACTTGACTGCCGTAAAGGAAGAAAGCACGCGTCGCCCATTCGCTGATGGAAAGATCACCACTGTTGATATCTTCACACGCAAGGAATAAGGCACATGCACAGGCTTGATCGATGCTATATAGCTGTTAAAATAAAACAAAATTATTTAAAATAAAAGGCTTACTACCTATCATCAACATCAACAGCCTTTAATAGTCCACTGCTGGACATAGGCCTCTCCTTAGAAAGGAGGTTTTGGCCTACTATACCACGCTGGCCAGACAGACGGGTTGGTATAGGGTTTGTGTCAAGTTTTCCTTCTTTTTGCAGTCCTAGTTAGTTACTACCTATAGCCTGTGCAAAACATTATCGATATCTAATGTATTTATAATCATTTTACAATTGCTCACTCAGCTGCAGCTGCCACACTCATACCAAAAGATAAACAAAATCTGAAAAGGATGCAGCAATTAAAATATGGAAAGAACTTATGTTAACAAACTAAATATGGTTAAGTACCTGAAAGAAGTCTTTGACTTGATGAGCATCTGGTCCCCTGCAGTCGCGAAGCAACGAGCGCAACAAGTCTGGCGCTGCGCCCGCCTCTACCACACACGCACCGGCGCCAGTCACCACTGCCCAACGAGACACGCTCCACACCTCTGTAAACAAACATCAAATAATGAGTTACACATAAAGTTTCTCAGTTTCTCTTTTAATTTAATTAGGTTCGGACTTGCCGTTCAAACCCCTTTCCTTCTAATCCTCTTAAGTATACTAATTTACTATATCTAATTTTCTTAATATTCATCCTGTGGGTGTCGTAAGAGGCGACAGAAGGAGCAAACTACACAGGACAACAGCAGTGCAAGGAGAAGGAAATCTTGAAATAAACCCTATAGCAACCCATCTGACCAGCATGGTATATTCGTAGTAGGCCAAAACCTCCTTCAAAGGCCTATGTCCAACAGTGGACTACTAATGATGAATTCCCTTAATTTTTGACGAGTCTATACTAGTGTAACATCTTACGCTAGAGTTGCGACAAAATATAATTATAAAAATGCAAATGTTTAACATCTGTTTTCAGGGAAAAAGGCGTAAAATTGAAAGAAAAGAAAGTGTAAGTCAAAAATAATTAAGTTGGCTCTTACCTACTTAGGAAAAGATTTCCACAATAATAAATATTGACGAGGATTTACTAATACTTTTCTAAATAATATGTTATAGAAAAGCCAACTAAAACCGATAGCAACGCCAAACTATTGCAATCAGGATGTTTTTAAAATTATGGTTTTTCATTTAATCAACAAACAACAAACAATCTGAGTAACAGTAATATGGTACTTTATTTAACTGGCTTTTTATATTAACCTTTTTTCGTTAGGATAGCCTCTGAGAGATGTTTTGCGTGCTGGCTGGGTAGCGCGGTAAGTGCCCAAGCAGGTCCGTCAAGTGCCAACAATGTATGTGCTTCGCTGAAAGTAGCCGCTGAGAGTACACGAGACAAACACCATAGCGTCTCAGCTTCACCTCCACCACCCGATGAACAAACCATTACTAAAGATCCTATTCCAAACAAAATGAACAATATTAATAAGGATTAAGAAATTCAATAGAGGTTATATTCTAGTGATGATGAGAACATGTAACGAGTTGTTACATAGACATTCTTTTGAAAGGTTTTGGTCATTATTTTTTAAGGTAATTCTTAATTCTGCTCACAATATGGACAAACTTCAAATGTGACATGATTTTAGTAAAACCCCTACTGGATAGCAATATAGACTGCAAAGTCGTGACAACTATCTTTACCAAGTATTATCTATCCTAAGCAGTTTCCTAGAGAATCTTTCATTTGAAACTTTTGCGACTGTTTAGTGTACAATTTATCCAACTTAAATAAAAGAAAAGTGACTGGTCAATTTCCCAAATACTTGTAAAATAAAAAAATGTATACCATTCTCATAGACAGCACTATGAACTTGCTTAGGTTTTAATACCGAAGAGTTAGGTGTGAATCCCGGCGGTAGTCTCACATGCAGAAGTGTGAGGTACTGAGGCCTTAAAGGTCCACCTTGACTCGCACTGCAAGCATAAGACTTCTATTAAAAAAGAACAAAAAATAATGTGAATTTTTCAGCGATTTTTGAAGGCCCATATTTCTGTGGAAAATGGTACATATCAAGCTCGTAAAAAAAAGCATGAATTGAAGCTCAAAACTTTTAGTTTTCAGATCTCTTGGGCAAACATTTTTAGGGGCGATAGTTATCGAGTAATTAAGAGAAATAGTGCGAAAATAAAATACAGTAAAATTATGGTATAGACTTGATAGCCTATTTATTCAGCTTTATTTTCCTTTTTCCGATTTTTGCCGGAGGTATTCGACTTTAAATGGAAAAGGATGCTTTTGGCTTTAGCCTTCGATATTTCAACAACCAATCATCGGACAGAAAATTGAAGGGCAGTTCCATTATCTGCAATAAATTTCTTACAAGGTTGGTTTATGGCCGTTTGAAATTTCTGTTTTTTATTTTGACTTGAAAACGTGAAAAAAGTGACTTCCTTGTTCCGAAAAATCTTTCGCATCTTTGCGAATGTTGATGAGGGGTCTAATGTTTGTACGATTTTTTATACCCCGATGTACCTACCCCAACAATCAACAGATTCATCGATCGATTGGTTTTTCTAAACTGTTTGATCAAAATTTCAGAAAAAATTAAACAAGCAATATTTACATTGCTGAGTAATCCGTAACCCTGGTAAAAATGAAAAATTGTTTTTTTTCAATTTTCTCTCACTTGGGAATTTTTATACATTGAAATTGGAAATCCAAAAAAAACTTTTTCGATTTTAAAAAAAAAAAGTTATTCACTCCACAGTATTTACTGACTCCAACGTGTGGATGTGTGTGCGTGTGTGGTATGTGTGCCTGTGATTCGAGGATAAATGGCATTATTTTTCGTACTATTTTGGCATAAGTGTATTTAATAAACAATTGATCCTACAACACATGGCTGCATGCAACATGTGGCTAATGCAGGCACCTCGCTGCTTCGTTTTGTGAGTTCAACCACCATATGGGACAACTTGTGTAATCCACAAATTGTTGTTCTCGAGTCTGGGTGTTTGTTGTGTTGGTTTCATGTATGTTTGTATAGTTCTCCACAACACAAGACATACTCGTAGTCACAAGACATTTTGGTAGAGCGGGAGTTCGTTGTAAATTAAAAACGAGTTTTTTTAATTTAAAAAATAATTTCAAATCTTTATAACATCCTTTCGCGAGAATTTGCATAATCACACACACACACGCACACGCACACACACACACACACAAAACTACAATTCTCTGCCTCCTGTAATAAGTGATTTAAGTCGAGTTGTACCCTTTTGTAATTGTTTTAGTTTAGAAAAAAATGTTAGTTACTTTATAGTTTCAGAGATAATTTTGTGCATATTGATATAACTGGCATCAGAATCTAAATTTCTAAATAAAAGTCTAAATCGAAAAGACCAAGATTCTGAAACAATTCAGCTAAATTATGAAAACAGGGGACTGATAAGTAAAACAATTTCATCTTTTAGGGTAGTATTTATAGCTAACTTGTTTGAGCATCTTTGCGCTAGGAATATACTACTCTGTCAAGAAAGTACCGGGAAAAGATCAATAATGCACAAAATGATTGTTTTTCATCCAAATTTATTTTATCACCTTCAAAGTATGCTCCTTCAGAAACGATACACTTACAACGAATAATCCAATCATGAAAACATTTTTTTAAAGCTGTTTCCGGAATTGAGTTCAGTTCTCGCCGCGAATTCTTCTTTGTCTTCTACCGATTGAAAACGGGTGCCACTAAGTGGTAATTTGAGTTTAGGAAAAAGAAAGAGTATTTGTTGTGTTTGGTCAAAAATTCGTTCACAATGAAGGCCTTGTGCGAAGGCGCATTATCGTTTTGCAAAATCCAAGAATTTTCTTGCCACAAATCTGGCCTTTTGCTCAAATGCTCAAATAACATTCTTTATTTACCGTTTGACCTCCCGGTAAGAATTCCGAATGCACAACACCGCGATAGTCAAAGAAAACAGTCAACATGACTATGACTTTTGATCGACTTTGGTGCGGTATTTTTTGGTTTTGGTTCAGTTGGAAGGCGCCACTTCCAAGCTTGTTGACTAGTTTGCATGTCAAACTCGTAAACCCACGTCTCGTCACCAGTAACAATGCGTTTCATGAATGTTGGGTCGGAATTGATTCGTTCTAGCATGTCCTCAGCGACTCTCATGTGATTGAGTTTTTGGAGAAAATTCAGGTCTTTTGGGATTAGCCGAGCGGTAACATGTCTCATACCCAAATGATTAGTTAAAATGGTACGGATCGACTCGTGAGATACAGAAAGTTCGGCGGCTATCTCTCTCAAAGTTGAATGAGGATTTTCAGTCACTATTTCCTTCACTTTTGCGATGTTAACTTCAGTTGCAGACGTTGATAGCCTACCAGAGCGAGGCAAATCTTCGATCACATCTCGACCGCTTTTGAACGCTTTGTACCACTCATAAGCACGTGTTTTTGATAAAGTCGATTCACCGTAAGCCTTCTGTAACATATTCAGTGACTCCGAACACGATATCCCATTGGCGATGCAAAATTTTAGACAAACTCTTTGTTCGACGTTTTTGTCCATTATGAAATTCGCAATACACACTAGACATGATATAACTAAAAACAGCACTGTATTTAATATAAATAACAGATTCAACTCAAACTCCTCGCTAAAATGGAAAACAGTTGTACCAATCTAACAAAAAAATATATTTGAATTTGGAACCATAAACAAATCATCTATTCCCGATACTTTTTTGACTGAATGTATTCTAATGAGTTATTAGATAATTGTATGTATATTAATTTACTTATAAGCGCAACATAATTTAACTGGACTCATTTATCACGTAATTTTACTTACTCGCCACTCCCAGTAGTAAAATACAACCGAGCACCAGTTTGTGTAACAGCAACTAAGTTCAAGTGATCTGACTCTGATTCATCTACTGCTGATATTGCTACGACAGGTTTAAAGTTGCTGGGCTCTAGAGTTCTGTAACAATTTTTTAAGGGTAACATAGTATGCTAAATACAGTTGTTATAAACAGTTACAGATATTTTTAAAATTAATGAATGAGTGAATCATCATCATCAACAGCCTTTAAATATCCAATGCTGTACATAGGCCTCTTCTTAGACAGGAGGTCTTGGCCTACTATACCACCCTGGCCAGATGGTTTGGTTATAACTTTTTTTTATATAAGTACATACATAACATTAATTAAAGTTGGGGTATTTGTTTAGGATGGAATAAAAAAGACAAGTTTATGGTTGATGTAGTATGTTTTTTTTTACATATTTCTTTTTTTTACATTATTTTGTAAATTCAAAGTCATTGCTACTTCGGAAAGGAAACGGAAAGTCTACAATAACTGCCTTTTTTTACCAAATTTTGTTTCCAAAAATAAGAGTTAAAAATTACGAAAAAAAAGTGGTAAATTTAACTACAATATTATAAAAAAAGACAAAAAAAGACTTACTTTACAATGTCTACCGCTGATGAGACAATCTTTCCTTGAGTAAGTCTTACAACTCTACTCAAACCATCACCATCACCCAAATCAAACACTTCTATGCAACCTTTTTCTGTCAATGTATAAAGTATATGTCTGGAATTGTCTACTTCAATCTTCACTATGGGATCCTCATCATACAAAGCTGCACTAAGGAATGTTGGCACCAGGAATGATAGAGTGCTTGTTGAATGGTTAACTTTTCTACAATGCTTTCCGAACCAACCTAATTGAGCCTGGGATAACAGAAAACAAAACAGTTAGTCAAAGATGCACAACTTTTCTTAAAAACCTGAAATAATAATATTTTACAAGTAATTTATAACAGTTAATAGAATGTTTGATGACACTCGCTAGTCAACCTTGGAGGGTAGTATATATCAATTTTGTAAAATGAACTGCAGCCCTGCTAGATATTCTAACAACAATATATTATAAACCCCTATATTTGAGATCATTAGACAACACTACTGTAAGGCAGCAAGAGTTTCATAGAATAAACATGATTGGGTAGATGCTAATAAAACTATTTTATTACAGGCAAATATAATCCAGAATACTGTAAATATTTATATCAATTTTTTTTTATATTAAACTCTTAGTTTCCTTGTTTTTGGTATTAATATTAAATTAGCATTGAAGCAAAAACTCGCATGATTTTTATTGCACAGGCAACAAAAAGTGATAGTATTAATACTTTTTAACAAAAATTTCCTTCAAGTTAGTTGATAATAAAATAGCTATTTACCTGATATGTGATTTCATATAAACATCCATCTTTTCCACCCATGAAGATTCTACCGTTAGCTGTGGACTTCACACACATCATAGATATACCATCTGTTGGTAGAACAAATACTGGTTCTGGGACTAATTGAATTTCTTGTAATTCACCTTGACCATCACTTTTACTTGATGAGAATGTCACACCTGGCAAATAAATATAACAGGGCTTATAACAATACTCTATATGCACTGAATTATTTGTGAATAGCTTCATCGTTATTTTATTATAATGTTTTACCTTGCATTATTTGTGCTGTTGGTATACCGAACAAAACAAAAAAATATCCCTATGCCTAAAAACCAGTTTAAATTTTTTATGTGTGTCTGTCTGTTTATTCTGAGTAATCTTCAAAACGGTTGGATCGATTTTAATAATATTTTACTACCTGGTTGCTGTCTATATCCAACCCGAGGCCTCGTTAACTGCAGTTATATACCATACTACACCTGCATAGTAGCTGCCTGAGGCAGTTACAAGTGCGTTGCCGCCTCATAAGTGCCTCCAAAATTAGGAGGGGTGGGGTGGGTTGGGCTCCGATGACCTTGCTCAATTGGCAATAAAGTGAGGTCCATACACCGACGCATAGATCCTCAAAAATGTAGATACTGTGCAGATCATCTCTGTCTAATATATTTGTTTTTTTAAGGCCTGTTTTTCACAAAATTTTATGACACATGGGATCTATATCGGACTATCTACATACTGGTGGAACAAAACCACTTGAAAAAAAAATGAATTATCACTGTGAGCAGGCTCTTAAGTACCTTCTAGCTAGTTTGTAAATAGTTTTCTTACCTAAGACTACAATTTCAACTGTAGTTGTTAATACTAATAAATATTTTACAAAGTTTTGGAATACTCCAGACTTCGGTTTGACTAGGCCCACAGAAACAATGGTCTCTCCTAATCCATCAAAGTAAGCCACATCACTGCCATGTTCAAAGGCCCAAACATAAATGTTGCTGTCAATTGCAAGCCAGACTCTGCTGATTTCAGGAAAAACTCCCATCAAGCAATGGCATTGCATATCTGATTTGTATTAAGAAAAATATTTTATATACAAAAGGTAGAAGCAGGTTAATAGGTATGATTACAGTATAAAATTATAGATTAAATTTATGAATAACAGGTAATAAATAAATAATATTAAAAAAAATGGTACTAGTTTTTATCAGCATTTAAAAGGATACGGGCAAAGTGTTCCATAATTTCAGGTGGAAGAGGAACTTTATTTAGTATCCTTAACTGTGATAAATTCGGGTGATTAACCAGGGCGGCAAGGTTTCGGTAATCCCCTGCGTTTAAACCGCTGCATGTTGGACTTCTTAAAGATGCTATACCAGTTATCTATAAAAATACAGAAGCATTGGTTATGAAAACATACGATGAGTTTATTTCACGACTATTATATATGAAAATTAGTCTTTTTTTACCTCTAAAAAAGAAGGGCGCGAATTATCAGCACTAATATACCGGTCCAGGGCACAACCAGCCAGCTCTAAATGTTCCAGTTGCATTTTCGGTCCGTCTGCAGTTCGCGTTCTGTCAATACTATTACTTATTACACTCGGCATCTAAAAACAGCATTATAAAACAATATAAATGCACTCGCAAACTTGAACAAGTTCAGTAATTTTTTAATAGTTTAAGGTTAACTATCTGTCACAGTTGACATATATACCTTTTAAAATTGTCATATAATATTCACTGACATAAATAAATATATGAAAATTATAATTCTAGAAATTGATTTGAAACTAAAGTGGGATATCTGAAATGTTGAATAAATTTATGGAAACACAATAACAAATAATGGACGTATTCAAAGAAACGCGACGGTTAACAAACGCAATGCTACCAACTGCATTAAAGAGGAATGAACGTTTCGTTTAGAAATAAAATATAAAATCTGACTCTGAGAAAGGGTTGGATCTCAAAATTACATAATTTTCGTAGAGAACAATTAAATATTTTTTGTCAATTTTGTTATCATGGTAAAACACATGATGAACAAAATTGACAAAAAAAACATAAACACATTATTTTGGAATTGTGTATGGTGAGCCACTTGTACCTTTTATTTTCAATAAATGATAAACACACGAAACGAATACAAGGAAAAGATCAAATTTACAAAATATTTTTTTAATTTTCTTTAAACTTGATTAAATTAGACATACTATCTCCTTTTTTTGTGTGAAACTCACCTTTGGATACCACCCACCAGTGGGGTGGTTATGTCGGACTTGAACCGACTAAAAAACCTGGTACCCGATTTTTTTATAAAACGAGGGGGTTAAGACATAAGATTCAAACGGGCCTAAATTTGAAGCGGTTACAAATAAATTGAGCCCTAAATGGTTATAATTTTTAGAAAACAAAAAGAATAGGTATTGATTGAATATTCGGAAATATTTAATTAAAACTTCATTGGAAGACTGCTAGAACCCTATATTACTTGACGAGACTGAGCCGTAGAAGTCAATAGCTTCCATGAGTAAACTTGCGATAGTCGAAGGTCGACCTGAACTCTATCAAACCTTAAGAAAACTTATCGCACAGTACAGATCAAAGGAAGAAATCATGGAATATCTGACTGATGAATATCTATGAATATATTGCTGACCAATTCATAGCGCATTTAGTACCTGGGTCTTATACATACATACATTGATTTGGAATATTTGTAGCTTCACAGCTTAAATCAATAATAGGTTTACTCATGTTAGCTTCTAGCCAAACATGAGTAAACCTTATATTTAGTCTGCTGCAATTACCTTATTAACTAGGTGGACTTACATGTTTGCAAATATGTGATCTTTATCTCAGCAACTATAATGTATATACATACATAGCATACATAGCATTGTTATTCTCCTCACACATGCATGATTACACCATAATCATCAAATCAAGAGATACACACCTTAACAAAGAGTATAAGTAATGAAGTATATTCTTACTTTGTATTATTTGTTAAGGTGTGTATGTTAGATTTTATTTTGCTATACACTCTTTAAAAATATCTAAATATATTTTTTGTGTAATCCCAGTAAACACATTTACGTAAAATTTACGTCATCATGCAGTGTCATCCTGAACTAAATTTTACGTCAGATGTAAGTCACATATCAATCATAGACACAGTATTTCATACCTCCTGACTAGTCATGACGTAAATCTTTTACGTAAAAGATATGACTTAAATATGACCTCTAATTGACATCAGATTATTATTAGAATGCTGATTATTTTAGCATTTTTTTATATTTGGTTATTAGAAAGCAGAGTACCTACCAATAATGCAGAAGACTCATTTAAGTTTTCCCTTGCACGGAAATCTTTAGTAAAAGGCGAAAGATTTACACTTTGTTAAGGGAAACCAGAGTTTACATGAAGTTATAAGAGCGCGGTAATAAACTTGCATGAGTAACGCAACCATATCGCGACTCAAAGAAATGATAGCACGCTATATGAGGTAAGAGGTAGTTGTCATAACCACTCTTAGTTATTCGGTTTGAATATGAACGAATTATAGCCTACTCAACAGTAATTGTAATTAAAGTTTTATTTTTCAAACCCAAAATTTTATTTTTAATTCGTTTAAGAAAAAAAATGCCGGTGTCTCTTAGGCTTGGGATACTTTTTTCTTAAATTTGCAAGACGTTGACCTTCAAAATGTTTTTATTGCTCACCGCGACACTTTCAGTGACAATAAAATGCCAACGGGGCCTGTATTGGATGCTGCATGCTTTTTAGATTAGATATTGATGTCTAAACATTCTTATTTAATTATTATCACGGGAGTACAGTATCTTCTTCTTTGATAATATTTTAATAAGAATATAAATTTATAATATTATTTTATTAAAGAGAATGTTTCACTAGTTATTAAAGGTATGTTTTTGGACTTGATTCTTAGGTTTAGTCGAACAAATAAAACTAACGTCACACATATGAAAGGGATAGGACATAATATTTACGTAATATTTAAGTCACAGCATAGACAAAAACATCGGACCTCTGTGTGACCTATATATGAGGTCATTTTAAAGTCATCTGTTCACCTGGTAGTAATCCGCCCCGACTTCGCACGGTAATTAACTAAACTCCAAATCCCCATTCGCCCAATCGGTCGATTGGCAGAGAATGCCTTAGGCATTAAGTCCGCCCATGCACGCATGTACATTAGGCATGCATGTACTTGTGCAAAAAGTTAAAAAAATAAAATAAACTAATAGTATTATAAGACTATACTACAGAACATCTTTAAATGCAATATTTATAGGCCCGTTCCGATCCTGCCGGCCGCTGGTTTATTACGACAAGTCTTTAAAATTCTCGGATTTTCTCTACTACGATATGCATATACATATTAAACACACACAATTAATTTTACAGCACTACCTATATTATTTTAGTCTTAGAATGTTTATGTTTGAATGAATACAACGTTATTTGTATAATTTAATCGTGTACTTATAAAATATTAGGTTATGATCACAATAAACTTAATCAATACATTATTACAGCAGCACTAACGAGTCAAATCTCATTAAAGTATTTAGTGCCGTAAAGTGTCAATACTATTGACACTATTATTCGGTTGATAGGATATCAGTCATTTAACAGCAGCTGTCCTTTAGGTCCTCCAATTAATTCGCCGTCTGAATACACTAGTTGCCCTCTGACATAGGTTTGCATTACTTTTCCTGTCAATACTCTGTTCATGTATGGACTTATCTGGAATAATAAAGAAAGAATTTACTGGTCGATTATATTATTAGTACACATCAAGTTCTTAAGTAAAGTTTAAAAAACAGACAACTCCCGGACTAGGAATACATCCCGTGTCAGTAAAAAGTTATTTACATTTGCTATATTGGTAATCCTATACAAAGAGTTGTATATTTAGGTACTTAGTCTTAGTTACTTACAAAAATTAATTCTGTCAAAACAAGACAGAGGGCCTAGTGCGCATTTATTTTACACTATAAACAGGTAAAATGTGTTTGTATGTAGGAGGTAGGGTAATGTTTAAAACTATTGAATTAATTCTAAAAATTATTTCACTAATGTGTAGCTGCATTATCCCTGAGTGCTATAAATTATATTCACATCGTCCAATGTGCGGGCGGAGCCGCTGCCGACAGTTAGTATATAAAATATCTCGAACTAGAACCCCAGATTACCACGCGGTCACACTTTTGGCAACATTAATTAGTGTAACATGTAGTAATGAATAAACGCAATGCTGGAATAAGCAATGTCGATTTTAGTTGGTCTTGCTAACTTGAGACTGAAAATAGCGATAGACTCTTAATTAACCTTGTTTTTGTATCTGATGATCTTTGGGGTAACGATGAAAGATGCATTGGGATCAAAGAAGATAAGATCAGCGTCAAGGCCGACTCTAATGGAGCCTTTCTTCTCCTGGAGGCCGGTTAGACGCGCTGGCCCCGCAGACCAATAATGGCTTAATGTACTCAATTCGTATCCTCGAGCTTTTGCCTCCGTCCAAAATAATGATAAGTCTGTAAAAAAATAGTAAATAAGTACCAGTCATTATAAAGTTTCTGTTTTTATCTATACACCTTGTTGTGCTTTTTTTCCTGTGTGGAAATCCCTTCGGATATCACATACCGGTGGTTATGTAGGACTCGAACCATTAAATGGAATCAGTTAATCGTTGACAACCATTGCTCCGAAGATTGAATTAAATAATAATATTCGCCTTCCAACATAAATTGAGGCGGGCCGCATCGCAACGTTTAACCTTGCAGCAAAAATATTTTCTAATTATTTGGCGGCGATTCAAAAAGACTACTATATAATTAAACATACAAATCTTAATTCCGTTTTTTTCTCATACTTGCTTGTGTTGATTACAGAATTGTTTTTGTTAAGCAGATTATTTAAATATGAATGTCTTTCACTCACCAAACTGAACTGAAGACACTCCGCCCCAAGCTTCTAAAAAGTTACTTCCTTTGAGTTCTTGCACACTTGGCGAGTGATCAGATGTTACTAGGTCCAACCGTTTATCTCTAATGTATTCCCAAAGTTTTTGCTGTCAATTTATTGAAAAAGTAAGTTATATTTGTGTTAAATAACCATTTGTCTTATATTACTTGATGAACTGACATATTTTTAAAACAGAGTACCAAATAGTACATTGGCTTATGCGCAGGGTCAAGGTTCATTAAAACGTTTAAATCCATCGTTGTAAAGTCCTATAGGCCATAGTATAATCACGGTACAATTATAATACAGTATTGTAACTCGGCCGCATGATAGAAATAAATGCCTACAGCCGCGCGGTACTTAAACATGCGTTAGGGCTGCCCGTCTCCAGCATTTTAATTATATTTGCCTACTTTCTGTTTCTATTTAGATTTGTGATTGTAAATATCCTTTTTATATAAATAAATGAAATACTTTGTATATTGAATAGGAATTGTTCAATAAAAATGCGTGTTGTTTTTTGATTGGTAGATTTAATTAAAAAACATTTTTTTGTTTGAAAAACCAATCGGGCTTATAAATTAGCGACCGAAAAAAATCCTTCTATAAAATAAAATAAATGTGCTTTCTCCATACGCGTTACAAAACTCCAATCCTTAGAAACTCCAACACCTACCACCTACTCAACTAGAATGCAAGAAACAGCTGACGAGTAAGTAACTTTTTATATCAGCTAATTAACGTCTCTATAAATTACCTAACCTATAACCTACAACTCGCAACAACTCAAAACAAAAATTCTTTGGTCACCAATTAATTAATTATTAAAAAGCTGAACAGCTGACTACGAATGTTTTAAAATCACAACCCTCAAACATCTAAATATTATATATGAGTCTAGCTGTTGTTGTTAATACCGAGAAAATAAAACCAGTTTTTAGTGGTATATGTTGTTATAGTAGCAGCAGAAACACTTTGTGAAAATTTCGAAAACTGTCTAATGACACACAGACGGTAACAAATTTTTTTTAGTATTATTCATACACACAGATAATAAAGATATATTATTAATAATACAATACCACGTCTTTAAGTAGAATTTTCTTTTTTTTTAATTATGCAAAGTAACAAAACAAACATGCACCGAAGTTTTAACACAAGCGTAAGTAGGTAGGTACCTACCGTATCATGATTCATTCAGAACCACATGTAACTCCCTATTTCACTCGTCTCAATAACTTTCCGTTACTCTATTTGCTTTATTTATTCATCCAAACACCTTTTTTTTCGTGAGATTAAAATAAATACTTATCCATTAAAAAGACACACATTATGTACCTACGTACTAGTAAGTAAAATTATTTTATAGTCTTACTTTTCAGAGTTTCCAGGTAATTTAAAAAAACTTATGTCTGGATGCGTTATTGACGAATTCATACAACCAAAAACAGCACAATATTTCCTACTCGTCATATTAACTGATTTTTAGAGAAAAAATCGCGCGGTTATTGTTAAAAAAACAACACGCAGTCCGTTCGACACTGCGGTACAGCCGTGACTGTCTGCGCCCCGAGCGCACCCCGAGATCGAGGCGCGTAGGTATAGCTCCCGTTTCGTCCGTTTGTATGAAGTTGCAGTACTGTATTATAATAGTACCGTGGTATAATTATCAAAATACCTACATTGATTGTTATACTATACTATGAATACTTAATCATTTACTCGGTTTAATTGTAACTGCTTACAATATTATTCAATAATGTTAAGGTTATGTCATTTTGATTACTTTGCTATTTAAGTATTTTAGAACTAGAATCTTATCGATTGTGTAAAATTAGGAATAAAAGCGCATTTGCCAACTAAAAAATAGATATATTGTAACAGTAGATTGTTACAATGTTTTAATGAAATAATTTGAAATTGTTAGTAAGTACCTTGTTCGTGTTATTCCTGATGGGTGGGGCACATTTGAATTCTGAGTGTCCAGGTGGGATTTGCTCCGAGCTCAGTGTGAGATAGTGGCTGCAAGTTTCTGCAGTGACTCCCCCGCGCCAACCGCTGTAACTATTCTTGATCCTGTTTTCTCTGGCTTCCTCCAAGATTGGTACGACCCCCGCAGATGACACGTGCACGACGTGGACGTGTACGCTAGATATCATTTGTATTACAAATTTAATTGTCATTTAAGATAAAAGTTAAAAATGTCAAATAAAATGCAAAAGTAGACTAAACTAGAGATAAACAATACAAAAATGATCTCTCTCGGAGGTGTTAAAGATCCACCGATATCAATGGTCTATCCATTAGGTAGGTCTTTTTTGATGTAGGTATCTATTTTACCGATACCTTTCATCCGGCAACCGGAAAGTATTAGCATAGTATAAGACATTTTTTTATTATTTATATTACATTAACAAAGTTACATTATATTAACAAAAAATAGATGAAAAGATTCAGCATTTAAAAACTATTTGAATTATATTATTAGTAAGAATTTTCTTACTCAGTTTTATTTAAATGTGACGCAATCAGAGACACAGCCTCTAATTCCATTTCATCCGGACGTGATGCTAAGTAGGTATCGTACAAGGTTGGATCTGAAACATGAATCAAAAATAAATTAGAAAAAGCGGTAACATTACCGATAATGGTAAGGACATATTATTATGATAGGCTAACCAAATTTACAAATATCCGTAATTTATGAAGTTGAGTTGAGTTGAGTTCATTAAAGTAATTAGAAGTATTTCAAACAAAATCCAATGCGATGCGTTCTACTGAAGATCTGTGATCTATTTACGTCGTCTAAATAATCAACTATGGGTAGGTACCTATACCTATCCACGGATCAATTGAAAAACCAGTAAGATAAGTGATAGCAAATTCTTAGATTGAGGAAAACTGTTTTTGCAAAATCTATATCAAGTAAAAAGTAAATTGACACACAGTACATATAACATACATCACACGCTAATAAAGTATGTGTATGTATTTACATGTGTATTTCATGGCCTCGGGACTAACATTGAAATACAGCATAATGTTAGAGATAACCTCAATGTTTTTGATGATTTTTCTATAAAAAAAAATCTTAGGCATATAAATACAACAAAAGACAAAGAAAAGCTCTCTTTGAAATAAATAAATTCTAATCTTACCCGTTCCACCACAATAAGGCCTTGTTTATCTACTGACCTTTCAATATTTGGTAATGCTTAAGCCTTTTAAATCACATTATTGACCGAAAAACGAGTCTAGAAAATAAATTAATTAAGAAACAAAAATATTAAAACAAGATTTTTAAGTTATTCAACATTGTTCAAACATTTGGACACATCTGATGTAGACGAACCTAAATTTTTAACATATGGCAAGAAATACCGTAAAACATTTACTAAACACATACTTTGTGATTACTAATATTCCTGTACTTGTACTGCTACTACCCTTCACTGGCACCTACATTCTTTGTTTTTTCTCCTAACCAAAGTGAAGTCTCATTTACATTCGTGTGTGTATAAAAGGGTTCAACTTACAACACAATGATCAGGAGAGCGTAAAGTGAGTCATTTGAACGGTTATCGTTCAAATTACTCACTTTATTCTTAATAACAGCCATCAAGTAAGTACACCAAAAGCTAACTCTGTTTCTTTCCTGGCCTTTTTTTTTTTAAAACCCATATCATAAAAATGACACTTTCAGAATGATTAGCGTAAAATTTCAACACCGGAAGGTTAACAGATGTTGATATCTTATCAATTACACCTTGGTGTGAATCGCATTGACCTAAATAGACTATGGGTGTTTATCTCATGAGCGAATCAAATCCAAATTCTATCATCACCAAATGTACTACGAAGATGTAGTCACATGTCAATCTAGTTACCTCAATTCTAGACTAAACAGATATTTTCTATGCGAAAATACTGCGTGGTACACGAGTAACTACCTAATCAGACAATTTAATACCACCTAAGAGATGAAATAATGTAAATACAGCAAACAACCCGCTTCAAAGATTGTTTTTAACTAATTTTCGTGTCAATTTTATTTTTCATTTCTTATTGATGTTTAGCTAGTGAATAGTAAAATATAGGTTATTTTAAGGTATAAGGTACTTAGATATCATGACGAACGAAACACACTGACGTAAATCCCTTTTTTTATCCTGCACTGAATTGTTCACTACTTAAGAGTAGGTAATAATTAAATATTACTTCATCACCTGGACAAGACGAAACTTCGCAATCGGCAACTTTATTGTCGATCTGCACTTCTGCGTGAAACTGTAAAAACCATCCGGCATACATTTAAAGGCCATTCAGTATGAGTAGTAAGATAATTTATGATAAGTTGTGTCATATTTACAGCTAACACCGTGCCTGTGCCATTGAGATGAGCGAAGGCTTTGTCTAGATCGTCTTCAGTTACATAAGGAAACTCGGAAACACCACTGTTTATTAAGAAACATTTGAAACCAACCACTCCAGCTTTTACCATATCTTTTAATTCTCCCTGCAAGAGAAAAATTCATAATAAAACACATAAAATTAACAAAAAATTTAAAAGTATCCGAGTAATATTGGGTCAATCTATACATGAGGCAATCTAGGCTTAATAGAAATGAAATATAATCACATTAACATTTATAATTGTTGGTTTTTTAAACAAAAAAAAAAACTTTTAAAACAATCCAAAACAAACTTATACAATGTAAATATATTTTTAGGTATTATACATCCATAATAAAGCTCTTATCCAGTCTTGCACACGTCAAGAGACAATAAACTAGGAGGTTTTTTATAGGTGAGTTGCATTTATACCAATAATTATTCTATTTGGATAAAAAAAATTGGTTGCCTGTAAAGTCGGTATACGGGCGAAAGTTTTACGTGACAACGACTATGTCTGTCTCTCTCGCTCTTAGGCGGGCTAACCATGCCCGAGTGGAAGGGACGCGTGCCTCTCACTCGCTCTCATTGTGAGCGCATAACGTGAGCGGAGCGTAACGCAGTTTCTTGAAGTGTCACCCGGCAAACCAATTTATAAGACGTTGTCACGTCAAAAGTTCATAGAGAAAAATATGCGTACACTTACCTCATTACCAGGAACAACTCCTCCCCAAAAGCCTACATCTACAAATACTTCCTCCTTGGCAATGTTGGCTTTGATTTTTAAATTATTTAGTGTTGTAGTAGGAGGAATAGAATTCCTGTGCAAAAAAAATAGTATAACACTTTAGTAACAACTCACTCAGCTCATAACTAAGAGTTATAATATTTGAATCAAAAATATTAAAAAAAAACTTTTTTACTAACAATTTAAAGGACTAATATTGTATCTGTTACTTTATTATTTTTATCTAAAACTAGAACTTATGCTTCTAGACCATGCGGTTTCATCTGTGCGTTGATCGATCAGTCAGTGAATTAGTCCGCCAGTTTTTCTATGGCAGAGGGGACAAACGAGCAGACGGGTCACCTGATGGAAAGCGAGTACCACTACTAACTTTCTTCTTTTATAGATATACAGATTATTTCTCTTTTCATTGACATAAAGGACTTCAGATTGTATAGGACCCGCTGTTCTTCTTCCGACTATTTATATATCTTAAGGTTTATTTATTAACGTCAATTGTTAATTTATTGCTGTATGTATGATTTAGTCACTACCGAATGAAAATATATTTTTTTGTACGAGAGCAACAGTGAACTCCGAATGACGTTTAAAAAAACTAAATTAAGCAAATATGGTATAAGTTAAACAAATGAAAACCGAGGTCAATGAAAACTAAACAAGGTTTTGTTTATTAGGTATAAACATAGGTGGATATACCTAGATCTTACCAGTAACTAACTAACCAAATAAACATATGAACAGGTGAGAATTAACTAAGTTGGACCAAACACATGAACTATTTGAGACTTCGCTCGGTTTCAATGTGTCATTTAAAAATAAACAGATTTTCTCCTTTATTGATTTTTCAGCGCTTAACGGTAATCTAGATTTACTTTAGTGGAAGAATGTTCAAAATGCGACTAGTGCCTTCAGAAATGACCTTCTGCTCTATAAACAGTAATTCTAGGTAAGTATAGCATAAAGGTGATGACGTCCGAAATTCAAATGTTACAGAGCTCGGCTCATAAAAATACTATAAAATGTGAAAAGCTAGCGGGCGGTTCAAAGACGAAACATCTTTTAATTATTTGTATTAAATAACATTTTTCACTCTATCCCGGGCTCAGGCAACAATAGGTAGCTAACTAAAAGATCCGAACAGTCAAATATAACTAGATTTGACTGTTTGGAACTTGTAGACAAACATACTTATCCGTAAATATATATATTTGTTGTTGATGTTATACTTTTTCATACGCTAACCTTGTCCTGTATGAAAAGCAAAACTAAACTTTAAAGTGCATATTTAGCACTTACTTAAGTTTTAACATCGTGGAGGTATATCTTACTTACAAAGGCATATCGATAATTGTGGTTATGCCACCTGCCGCAGCTGCCTGAGTAGCTGTAACGTATCCCTCCCATGATGTTCGACCTGGCTCATTCACATGTACATGAGAATCAATTCCTCCCGCTAAAAGAGCCCAGTCTCCGCCGTCGATCACCTAAAAAAATACATTATAAAGATATGCATGCATAGAATCCAATAAGATAAAGATTTAGATTAATATAAGCCCCATTTCACGTTGTAACAAATAGTTTGCTCTGAGTATAAAAGAGGTCAAGCCATATTTTACCAAACTAAGTAAGTAGTTTAATATTAAACTTATACTAGTTATTGAAAATTAATTTGGCAAAGACAGATCTACCTATTTTGCAAGGCTCTCATATTCCTCAAGGTAGACTGGTAGAAATTGTATTAACACTATGTTTAACTTTATTCTGAAGGTATAAGTAAATAAATTATTTTCTTAGTAAAATTAAATGAACACAGTTTTTGTGAAGCTTCCATTTGAATACAAATGCTAAGAATTTAAAAGGTAAATATCATGATGTTTGAATGAAGTATCATGAATCCTTATCGCTTGAAACTATCAATTTACTGAAGTTCCAATGGAAACAAGAATCTAGTTTTAGTTTTTAATTTTTATGTTACCTTTTTCATGTAGCTAATGGGACGTTTATGTTTAGCATGACGAGATTGACGAACCTGTTGGTCTACGATAATCCCATGGTCATGGGTTCGAGTCTCACCCACGACAAATAATTATATAATGAGCACGATCATTTTTGCTGTGTGTCTGGGTGTAACTTATCTATAATATGTATGTGTTCAGAAATAACCCCACGCGAACGTGAAATATGTCTTAAATCTTTAACAATAAGCATACGAACTGTCTGACTTAAAATAGCGACTGCACGGCACGATGGCGAAGTGGTTCAAGCGGTCAACTCGCCATTTCTTACTCCGCTAAGTGTTGTGTGGTCGATTGCAACATGGGACAACACTTTGAGTAATCCATCCAGCTACACGGTTTACCGTTCGGAAATATACAATTTATATAGGTATTATCGCTGTTGTTTAAAAAATCTTATGAGTTTTTTTTAAGATTCCTTCGTTTGAGTAAATACATCGCTGTAGTAAATATTCACATCTTACAAAAGCTGTTTGATTTTTGCAATTCAAATAAGAGCGTTTATTCAGTACAGTTTGCTTATTCAGAATATACAAACATTAACATAATTACACGACAACATTAAAACTACGAGTACAATGATATCAACGATGATAATATGATACGACAGGATGAATTATCATGTAACAGTAGTAGTAATAGAATATATCATCATCATCTACATAGATCCTCTCTACTGCATAAAGGATTGTACAATTCAGAAATATATTAAGACACAGTACAATGCGCGTTCTTAGTCTGTTATCCCTTACAGACAACTATGCTTAGGAAATTCATGTTACAACAACCACAAAATAAAAACCATGTTTTACTTATATTTGAATAATACAATGTCTGTATATACATTCATACATACAATACCTACATCGAATTTAAAGCCGTTCCGCACAGCGATATATCACCGCGAGAATCGCTACCGTATCGCGTTCAATTTGCATCAAATCTCAAATTTTTCTTCCACGCGAATTCTTTTTCCGCCGATCCCATGTGTCACAGAACTTTGCAAAAAATAAAACGCGCGGTGATCTGTCTACATGTACTATATATAGATAGGGAATTAACCTTGAGTAGCTTCTGCAAAACAATGTTCTCAGATAGTATCTAGCTATGCATTGCAAGCAATGCAGCTTGCATTGCATTGCAAGTATTTGGCCTCAAATATGACCAAACGTCAAATATGATCCAGCTATATTAGAATGCTTGTTGCATGAAAAATTTCTGGCAAGCATTTGGGAGTTTACCAATAGTCATTAATGCCAGTTTGAACCTAGACATTGCCACCCAGAAATTGTGTCATTGTGAAAAACTAGTGATCTTTCTGTTTTGAAAATGCAAGATTTATCCACATCTATAATGTCGTCAATGTGGCGAGACAACCTTCACCAAACTAAGCTATCATATCAGTGTACAAATTCCTGTGAGAACTATCCTGCTGTATGTTCTGATGATTTTTTAGTTTCTGATAGGTTTTCTCCCTCACTAGCCTTCATCATCTAACATTTGAATTTCCTATGAAGTAAGAGAAAAGCGAAACTATCTATATACATCGTGTCAAACTAAAAATTAATTAATCTCAAAAGATTAATTAATTTTTAGTTTGACACGATGTTTAGTTTAGTTTGTAATGGACGTATGTAATTTATCTATAATATGGCTAAAAAAATTCGCTAAATGGCTTAAACCGGAGCAATTGAACAATTTCTCAAGTTTTGTCAAGCTCGAGATCTCTGTTATTTATTATTTTGCAAGTCAATCTCTTTTCTCTCTGTGCCAAAGATTGACCTCGAATGATATAAATAATTTTATTAACAAAACCTAACCACTCAAATTAATTTATTCTATTCTATTTTTAATAAATGATAACGAAGGATTACTGATCAAATTATATTTTACAAATGTGATACATGATGTCAAATTACCTATTTAAAATATAGATTAACTAAGTGTTTTGTAACAAAAAACCTGTAAATAATATCTAGCATATACAAGTTCAAAACTATTAAAATTAATTAGTTAGATACAGTAATAAGCAGATTAAATTAATGCACATTATAAGTAGATTTTATGGTAGGTACCATTTATAATGTGCCCTCAGAGGCGTGGCTTTATACTTTTATTAAAAGCTAATTAGAGATTATTTTTATTCTATGTTTATAAATATTTTTGACATCTGGCACGCCTCAGATTTAACACGTATTAATTTACAAAAAGAAATATAAGTAAGTAAATTTATCTGTGCTTTAGAGAGTGCTCTGTTTCTAAAGCATCATCTGATACTGTGAAATCTAATATATGTAATGAAAAAAAAACGAAAACATCCACTTACCTCCAGATTTTTAAGCTGTTGCAATTTATCAATAATATTTTTTTTAAAGACAGCTTCAATTACTCCAAATTCATTGACCAAAACGCCACCATCGAATTCATCAGATTCCGTGACTACATGCCGGCTTAAAAACAGCTTCTGCTTCCCCGATGGTTTTGAAGATAATGTTATAATACGACAAGTAACTCCGGCTATAAATTAAATTTTAGCTTTGTTTAATTTTATTTAACACGCGGATATATACAATGCTACAGGTGTAATGGCGAGCCTTACACAATAGAACCGCTTGTAGTAATAAAACATAATGCAGCAACATTATACTAGTCGATACGTGGCTGTGGTTAATGAAAGACTGACATCGCGATATAATTTACTTAGTATTCTTTAGTCAACGACATTGTAATTCTAATCTCTACTAATCGTCGAAACCGTGAAGCGCAGATCAATGTTAAGAAAAACACGTTTTTTTGCAACCGTTTCGCTGGCTAAGTCCTAGCACTACTGTTTGTTGCGAAACCTCATAGATACATATATTTATATATATTTTCATGTTACAGCTAGTGTGCCTAAGTAAAACCACTTAATTTCCCGTTACAAAGTAGAAAAGTAGTAGGTAGTGGTCTGCCTACACTACTTTTCAGGGCTTCGTGTAGACGGGCACGCCGTCATTGCGGCGGTAAGACCCGTTATGGAGGATTGGCTCGAGAGGCGTCACGGGACCCTCTCATACCGATTGACGCAGGTGATCACTGGGAAGGGATGTTTCGGAGATCACCTGTGTCTGATCCGCAAGGAGCCAACGCCTGAGTGCCACCACTGCGATGGCCAGACCGTGGACACGGCTCTCCACACGCTGGCAGAGTGCCCGGCGTGGGTTGAGCAGAGGCGAGACCTCGTGGCGGCCATCGGAGTGGGAGTTCTCTCGCTCGATAGCCTGATTGCGGCTATCGTGCGGAGCGAGAGTGCGTGGAACTCTGCCGTCTCCTTCTGCGAGCAAGTTCGAGTCCGACATGCCACCGACAGGTGGTATCCGAGGGGATTTCCGCACGGAAAAAAAAAAAAAAAAAAAAAAAAGGGCTTCGTGTAGAGATTTATCCCCGGTCCGATATTTCTAGGTTGATCTATCGTATTAATAATAGGGTAGTTGACTATATTATATAAATAAATAACAATGTCCGCTTCTTTAAAACGAATACCACAAAACATCTCGGTTTGTTTGTCCGCTTCATTAAAAGGAATACCACAAAACATCTCGGACATATAGTGTGTGATGAGCACGATCATTTGTTCTGTGTCTGTTTATTTACATTTATTCACATTATTACTACAATATGCCACAGCCATGCGTGCCAGGGCACAACTAAGTCACTAGGGACTTCCTTCCTAGGGTATACCTGGATCCCCAGCTATTAGTACCCGAGACGGCGTGCGGTTTTAGTCGTTTCGAGTCCGACATGCCACCGATAGGTGGTATCCGAGGGGATTTCCGCACGGAAAAAAGAAAAAAAAAGAAGGGCACAACTAAGTAGTTCCTTTTATAATAAATGACCAAATGTTGCAATGGTTTATAAACTGGAATAGTTACTGGAAATAATTATTTTTTACTACATTAAGTAAAGTGACTGTAACATCCACGTATGTATTTGTTTCAGTATAAACTTGTTTTGCGTTATCAGTGTTGGGCTGTACGAAAGATAACATGGAACTGAAATACTTTTATACACTCGCTCTTTACCATTGTATACACAGCTGTTTTATTGTTTATTTGTGAAAAAGGAAACTATGTTCAAAACAAAGGCCTACAGTAACGTTGAAACATTACTAGTGTAATCCAAACATTTTAAAAATTACTTTTTAATTGAATTGATTATACTGTAAGTTGGTTCCGTTGAAAAATGTAGAGTATAACTCCACTTCTACGGATCGATGTATACAACTTATTTCAGGCCTTACATACGTCCAGCGGTACCGAAAACGTACCAAAAGAAAAACTGTTTTTAGGAGGGATAGAAATAGAAATTGATAAAAAAAATCTTACACATTGTTTATTACTGTTAAGTAAAAATTATTTCAATTTTTTTTTCAAGAATTACAACATGAAAAATCACATTTTTTGAAGCACTGTAAAAAAAAAGTTACTCCACGGTCAGTCGTATTTCTTCCTCAAATGTTGACGGATCTGCAAAATGTAAAGAAATTGTTGTAAAATAAGGTACAAGTTATAGTCTGTCGAGCCGGATTTTTGAAATTCGATAAATTAAACAATTTAAGGTAATTAAAAAAAAATGTGAAAAAAAGTCTTAATTGTTTAATTGTTTTTATAAAATTTTCTAATTATAATTTCAAAAATCCGGCTCGACAGACTATAGAATAAACAATTAAGAATATTTAATTCAATTAATATATAAAAAAAAACTGGAGCAAGAACTTTATGATCTTTTTTTAATTTATTTAGTTAACTTACGTCTAATCTCCCATTCCAGCTTCATATTGTACGCGTTCCTTGTCAGTAAACTCAACTCAGGTAGGCGCGTCAGACCTTTGTTCTTTCGTCGGGCAGTCACATTATCTACAATAACTTTTGAACTATGGGGAATTTTTACAATCAGCTTACACAGAAATACGCCTAAGATTATAAGGAATAATAATCTGTAAACAAAAATATCGATTTTATGAAAACTCTCGACGTATGTAAGGCCTTCAGCTTGTCGTGGTTTAGGCACCATGTTAAATATTGAACAGAGGAATTCCACACCTGACGTGTGTATTTAAAGCTATCGATAGTAGTAACTAATTTAATTACGACAGAAATTGTAATTTAACGTTTAAATATTGTGTATAAAAACAACCTCATTATTACCTCATAACCAGTTATTTAGTCTGATAAATACCTAAAATTATGTATCGTATATTTTATATGTACCTATCGTATTTTATGAATAATTGTATTAACGTTGTATTTTGTTGACTTTGTATTAACGGACGGCCTAGATCAACATACAAAGACACAACGACAAAGGCTTGGGTCTTGAATTGAGAAATACGTTAACGTTAGAGGACGTTGCAAGTAGTGATGTGCCGGATATCCGTATCAGTATCCGTATCCGCGGATATCCAAGGGAGAAGAGAGATCCGTAACCGTATCCGTATCCGTGACTTTTTTGGCGGATCTTTCAATACATAGATAAAATTCTATATAGGTGATTTTGTATTCACTGTAAAACTCTTAGGTATGTGTTTGTAACACTAGAAACAGCAACTTTTTTTCTGGCCAACGTCAAAATGAAAAAAAATTGGTCCTCCATTCAAATGACCAATCAAATGTTGTTAGTTTGTATGGAGAAACAATTTTTTTTCTTTCGTTTTCGGTGTTAGTCCAGAAGAAAAGTTGTTGTTTATAATGTTACTAATATGCACTTCAGAGGTTTTCAGTCAATTTAAAATAACCCTGAATAATGGTTATTAGGTAGCTATGAAAAACTATTGAATTCTGTTCAGATTACTTTTTATTTCTTAAAACAAATATTTGGCACCTTTGTATTGCAATCATTTATCGTACTACACTAAATCAACTAGGCAGGTCGTAGGTACTGAAAGAGCTATCTTTATAATGAGATCAATCAAACATCTTTGTATTAGCTTATTAAAATAATGAAATATTTAAATATCAACGGCAAAGCGTCAAGTGGCGATAACAATCAAGGTCACGGGCTCCGATTGAGTAAGAAACTTAAGATCCGTATCCGTATCCGCGGATCTTGACACCAAATATCCGTATTCGAATCCGTATCCGCGGATATACTTTGTTAACGATCCGGCACATCACTAGTTGCAAGACTTAAAAAATCTCATTAAAATGTTTTTAGGTCTAAAAGCTCCAGTTATTCTGTAATGTACAAGTTTTCAAAAAATTTTTCTTTAAAAAATAATCAATAATGGCAACATACACTTTGTGGATGTCATCTTCGAATTAAAAGTATTTACTGACAATTCCTATAATTGTGGTTACACTCTATAACAAAGCCATTAACCAAAAGTTGAAGTTGACAATTCCTATTCATTCTTGATTTTTCTAAGTGGACTCAGAAGTGTTCAAAACGCGGGTTCCCCACAGATGAAAGGGCAATTTTCCAGAGAGGGATGCCAATAGTTTTTCTAGAAACGTGCCTATCTAACATATGTAATTGCAAAGTTAAGCAAAAGGTAAGTAACTAGTTTGTTTTACAAGATCGCAAGTTAAAATATTGCGGCACGGCATGTTTTAGAAATTAATTTCTTAAAATAATAATATTTTTCTACTACATTTACACAACGCTATCTAGTCCCAAATTAAGCAGAGCTTGTACTACGGGTACTAGACAACTGATATAAATACATATTTACTTTAAATATCAAATAAAAACAAATAAATATCATTGAAGTCAAACATACTCGTATTGATCTAAACCTTCACGTATTGTAAAGAAGGCAACCATTTATCATAATTATTATCAGTCATCTATAGGTAGTCAGGTATATTTATCTGCTATAACATATGTAGCAGATAAATATACTATTGAAAACATAACATTTGTATAGACTCGCAATTCGCAACACAGTTTTTGTACGTATCGCAAAAAGGTTTTGAGATCTAATTAGTTTACCAGTTTCTAAGCTTTTTATATTTCTTAAATAAAAAAAAAAAGACTTGCGCAGTACTTGGCAAGATGATTAAAGAAGTACGAAGTCATCTATTATAATAAATGCATACTTACATAAATAGAGCGCTTATATTACCTACTAGCTGAGACCCGCGGTGTTACCCGCGTTTGTTGTTATAACCGCGGGCAACGCCGTGGGGCGGAGCTAGTCTGAAAAAAGTAGCCTTAGTTACTCCTTATGTCATCAGCTATCTGCCAGTGAAAGTCCCATCGAAATCGGTCCAGCCGTTCCAGAGATTACCCGGAACAAACAGACAGACAGACAGACAAAAATTGTAAAAAATGTTATTATGGCATATGTACCGTGCAAACATACATATGCATTTAGTAAAAAGCGGTTATTTTAATATTACAAACAGACACTCCAATTTTATTTATTTGTATAGATAATATATTATTTGTATAGAAGTGCATTTTTTGTATCTGGGTGCTATTGCCCTATGAAAATATATCTTGTTACATTATGCCTAATAGTCACTGCAATTTAAGGCTACTAGATATAATGCAAAACCAACTTTAAAGCATATCTTATCTTTATCACATATCTTATAATATTCCAACCTTTCTGTCTCTTCAGTAAGTCTTCCCTCCGCTCAGTCTCTTTTGCTTTTTATCT